AGGAAAGTTCCTTTTAATTATTTCAATACATATCCACCTTTCTAGAATTTTGCTGCAGCTTTGAATATTTACCCATCATCATATAGATGGATTTGATTGACCTTTGTTTTTCAATTTCAACGCTTACCTGTTTCTCTTTGATTTTGGATTGTCATTTGATGCATGATTTTGCCCCCTGATCTCTTCATTAATTACTTTTTGCTTTAGCAATATATGAAATTTTCCTTTCGGGATACAACCATCAAAGCTCAAACCTTTTACCAATGTTACATTAATACATTAGCCTTTTGTTTGAAAATTAATTCATAATTTTAACAGATAAACTTGTGATTATAAATATGTATATATCATTACCTTGAAAAAAAAAATTGTTTGAAAAGGAAGTATTTTCGACTTTGCAATCACAAGAGCAAAGTTAAAGCCATACTTTTTTTAACTAATTTAAGTCTATAGGTTATCATAACGTATAAATTTGTAAATCTATAGTTAGATACAATCTAAGAAATTGCCATCAATTTCTTATTAAGATGTGATTGGTCACCAATGAATCTATCTTTTTAAGGAATTCTTAAATTTGACTAAAGATTCCTAAAGAATAAGTTATGACCTTCTGAATAAAACTAGAATCGAGTGTTCAATTACGTGTGGAAAAGGTTATAGCACTTTTACAACGCTCATCCTAATATGGTATCATTTAATTTTAAATTATCCTAACAATTATCTTGGTTTTAATAGTCTTTATTTTTAATGTTTAAATATTGAAAATAACTTCTAAGGTTTTTCATCAATCTGGAAGAATTATTAAAAATACTTTCTCACAAAAGTATTTAAGAAACCCTTTTGTTTTCTTGAAGAGACTACATCGTTAAAAGGCTTAATCAATTTCTTTATTAATTTTTTCTTTTATTGAAAATATATTTAATTCTTCTATCATTTGGGTTAAAATTAGAAATATTTTCTCATTTAGAAATATTTTAGATAATCATCTATTTGTGATTTCTAAGAATTTCATCATTGAAATTTATTGTTTATTTCTATTTCTATTTCTAAATTTTTCATCCTTTGAGTTTATTTAGAAAATTTTCCTACAAGTTTCATAATCTTTGAAAAGAAAATAATATGACAGTTATTTTTTATTTGAGAAAAAATGCAATTATTTTTATTAAAATTTTATCTAAATTATTCTACCATTTGGGTAAAATTTTAAAAAAACTTCTCACCTAGAGATTTCTTAAAAAATTTATTATTTAAAATTTCTAGAAATCTCATCATTGGGATACTAGTATTTAATTCTAAAATTTTTACTAAATTTGTGTTTTTTTATTTTTATTTTTTAAAATTAAAAATAAATATTAATTATTATTATCGAAACTTTATCTAAATTTTTCTCCATTTATGACAAATTTTAAAAAATTTCTCACTTAAAAATTGTATAGAAATTAACTTTTTACAATTTTTAAAAATTTTATTATTAGATAATTATTATTTATTCTCAAAAGTATATTAATATTTTATTTTATGTTATAATTCTTTTTCCTAATTTTCCTAAAATTTAATCAAGTATAATATTTTTAAAAATTAAAATAATAGCATAAAACAAAAATAAATAAAACCATAAAAATAAAAAATAAAATAAATAAAATACCAAAATAAAAGTGGCTCGGCTTAGCTATGGCTAAGGTGCGACTACACGGTGACAGGTGGCTGAAGCGGTTGACTTTTTTAACTCAGCTCGGTTTGAGCCAAAGACTGAAACATGGGTCAAGCTTAGGGTCGAACCTTCAGGCGATAAAACGCTCGGATCTTGTCAAACTAAAACGCCAAAAACAACGTCATTTGGCAGACGTATAAAAGGTAAAAAAAAATTTTTTCTCATTATTTATTTTTCTTCCTTTCTTTCATATTCTTTCTTTTCTGTCTCTCTCTAAAACAAAGATGAATTTCGACTGAAATTTCATCAGATTTTGGAAAAAGGTGCCGAAATCTAGAAAGTTTCACCAAAAGTCTTGTCGAAACTTGGGTTTGATTGTTGGGTTCTGGAATTTTCACGTCAGAAGCTGGGGTTTTCGTAGAAATCTCGACTCGAGCCAAGGACAGAGACGCTTGTCAAAGATGGGTTGACGTTACAGGTTGGGTCACTTAATAGTAAAATACATAAATTCAGAGTTGAATTATATGTCCAAAATGATGTCATTTCGGTAGGGTATAGAGAGCCAAAACTTTTTTTTTCTTTATATTTCTTTTTTTCTCTCTCTCTTTAGAACCCAAGAACACTAGTTGAATCTTCATCGGATTTTAAAAATTCATGGTGAAATCTGGGTTGAGTCACCAAAAGTTAGTTAGAAGTTTATCGATTTTTGAAAAAGTAACACCGAAAACTGAGAATCAAGCTGGAAGCTGGGATTGTTGCCGAAAAGTTGCCAGAATCTTCAATGATTGCCAGAAAATTCAACTAGATTTTGGAAAACTTGTCGAAATCTAAAAATTTCAAATTTTTCCAAAAAAAAAAAAATTCAAAATTTTCTTTCTAATTTTGCTGATCTTTTTACCTTATACAATTTTTTTTTTTGCCTATCTTTGTTTGTGTTTATTGATTTGTCCGCTAATCTCCCTATGTTTTTTTCATTTGGTATAAAGCTGTATTTATAAGCTTAAATCTAAATAACCCTATACCCGAAAGGAATTTCAATTCCCTTTAAATTCTCCCTTCAAATATTAATTCACCTTAAACTTTTCAATCCAACTCAAACTCTTCAATCCAAGTTTTACACAAACTCAACCTCTGATTTTTCCTTTTTTATTTATTTTTATTTTTATTAATAGAAACAACTAGAACCTAAGACAAATTGAAGTGTCTACAATGACATAAAACAAAAATAAATAAAACCACAAAAATAAACAAAAAAATAAACAAAATACCAAATTAAAAGTAGCTCAGCTTGGCTATGGCTAAGGCACGGTTGCAGGGTGACAGGTGACTGAAGTGGTTGACTTTCCTAGCTCGACTCAGCTTAAGCCAAAGACTGAAACGTAGTTCAAGCATTAGGGTCGAAATTTCAGGCTATAAAACGTATGAATCTTGTCAAACTAAAACACTAAAAATGACATCATTTTATAGATATATAAAATGGTAAATTTTTTTTTCTCAGATTTTTTCTTCTCCTTCTTTCTTTTCTTTTTTTTTTTTCTCTATTTTCTCTCCAAAACAAAGATGAATTTCGGCTAAAGCTTCGTCAGATTCTGAAAAAAGGCATCAAAATCTGAAAAATTTTGTTGAAAGTCTTGTCGGAACCTAGATTTGATCGCTGGGTTTTGGAATTTCCACGCCAGAAGCTGGGGTTTTCGCCAAAAACTGGGATTTCTATTGGAAACTAGCTAGAATCTAGAATTCTTCTTCGAAAAATTCAAAATTATGGAAATATCAAGAAAATTTTCAAAATCAAAAAAGAAACTTTCAATAAACGTCAATCAAACTCCTTAAATCTCACCAATTTGATTCCTAAGCTCTGGAATCCTTAAAAAAACCAAATCTAAACCAAAACCCTTGATAGAAACTTTTAAAAAATTGAGTTTGATTGTTTTCCCCCTTTTTTTTTTACCTCTGATTTCTGCGTGTATCTATTTTCGTTTGCTGATCTCTATGTTGTGTATTCCGTTACTTGAATACTTATTTATACAGAACATTACAGATCCAAATGTGATCTAACTCATATTAAACTCCTCAAAGAATCTGTCTGACAGTTAGATTAGGATTAAATTTCACTATTATCTCTAGAAAAAAACTTTTTCATCAACCAATTGAATCTTTCTCTAATTAAGATTTTGTCATTCCTTTTTTTTAATAGATAATAAAAAAATAATAATAAGATAACAAATGCATAGTAAGATAATAATAATAAAATAATAAAATAGTAGTAAAATAAAAATACAAAGATAATTACTTTAAAAAATAAATAAATAAGATAAACACAATAAAAATAGAACAATAGAATATGAATAATAAGAATTAGGCCGAGCTTGATTTGGGTTTGATCAAATTAGTCCTAATCAAATTAGGTTCAATTATTTCAGATTTAGACCAAATATAGTGTCTACATAAATTATACAAAAATATATTGATTTTATTAAGAGGAGCAAATGATGAAGTAATTTTTTAAGAAGTCCTTTTCTCTAAACTAGTGGAATTGTGTTGCCCTTGTCCCCCAAGTTAATTACTATATATAATCTTTGCTATCTCCATTTCATTGCTACCATTAAAAAAAAAAAAACTAATTACCATCAAAATATTATGATTTTAAAATCTCAAAAATAGAAAATATAAATATGAAAAAATTGAATTCAGACTTAGTTTAGTTAAGTTATATAATTACCTTTAAAAAATAACATCTACTGGATTTAATAATCAAATTTCAACATTTACAATCTTTTTTTTTATCCTCATACTCTAACGTCTTTGTGAAAAAAAAATGCAAAAGGAATAGTGAATTGATTTATATATAATCCTAAGCTTGCGTAATACTAAATAGTAGTGATTAATATAGATGAATTCCATGTCAGCGTATTAGTAATAATGTGGTAATGTTAGCGTATTAATAATAATGTGTTAATGTAATGTAAAGGTAACGTTCCACTCAATGGCAAGAATATACATCATATGGACTTATGGTTCCAATGAAAAACAGCAGCCCCTTACAAAAAATAAATTGATTATTACAGGTATTATTCTAGACTAAGACAGACAAGTAGAAAAAAAACCATATTCTCCTGTTGTGGCACATTTCCATTTTCTATAATTTTTTATACCAAAGTCTTTCTTTATGCCATAACTTTTAGAAAAAACCACATATATATATATATATATATGGATCTTCTCATAAACATGTTTATCTTTTTCCAGCTTGATTATTAATCCCTTCCTCTCCTTCTCTCTCTCCTAGAATTCTTGCTTCAGTGGAAAGAGAGAAAAATTAGCTTAAAAGGAATTCAAAGAAAATTTAAGCATGGGGAGAGCTCCTTGCTGTGACAAAGCTAACGTCAAGAAAGGCCCATGGTCACCTGAAGAAGACGCCAAGCTCAAGGCATATATTGAGCAGCATGGTACTGGTGGAAACTGGATCGCATTGCCCCAGAAAATTGGTAATAATAATAATAATAATAATTAAAGATATATAATCAATCAGCTGTGCTTTGTTTTTCTTTCTTTTTCATTTCTTTGTTTTTTTCTTTCATGTAGAAACACTACTCAGATTAATAAATCGAGTAAAGTTTTGGTTTATGGTGTCTGATGCGATTTTAAGTGGTTTGTTTTTTTGTATCTTAGGCCTTAAGAGATGTGGGAAGAGCTGCCGTCTCAGATGGTTGAACTATCTGCGCCCAAATATCAAGCATGGAGGATTCTCTGAAGAAGAAGATAAGATTATTTGCAGCCTCTATATTAGTATTGGGAGCAGGTATTGCGGCCCTAAAGTGATTCATTAAGTCACCAAAATCTTATATTTTGATTTCATTCAAAACAAACATTTTTATGCCTGAGAGAGTACAGATTTATTGCATATTAGTTACTGAACTTGCATGATTATTGTAGGTGGTCTATTATTGCTGCACAATTACCGGGGAGGACTGATAATGATATAAAGAACTATTGGAACACAAGGCTTAAGAAGAAGCTTCTTGGCAAGCAACGCAGAGAGCAACAGTCTCGTAGAGGGAATAGCCTAAAGCAAGAACTGAAGAGAGGGAATGGGGATACCTTGATTCCTGATCATAAGTATAACAACAACGAAAGACCTTACTGGCCAGAGCTGCCTGTGCTGGTGGCGCCCATGCCAAACTCAAGTCAAGAACAACGCATTGACAGCCAAGCGTCAGTGAGAAGATTACTAATCAAGCTTGGAGGAAGATTTTCTGATGATGATCAGGTGATCAATGATGCGTCGACAACTCTTCATGATCAGTTTCCAAAAGATTCATCCTCCACTGCTCATCTGCAACTTTATGAACAAACTCTCCAAATGCCCTCTTCTTCTTATCCCATGGATGCCTTAAACAATAATATTGGTACTCAGTTTGTGAACTCCCAGTACACCATAGATGGACCAAATCTACATATGCTGGAAGGGCAAATCAGTTTTTCTTCAGAGCTCCAGGAAATGGGATATAGCAACCCACAAAGATTAGATGGAATGGAGTTCTTATATGGGGAAGACATGGGTAGAGCTGTGGATAAATATTGTTGTGAAAGCATCGGCTGGCCGGGTACTGATACAAGCTCTCTGCTTTGCCCTCCTGTTGCTTCAGAATATGGAGATATACAACAAGAAGTGCTGCAAGAATTTGCTTTCAATGAGTTAAGGCAGCCATGAGGACAATAGCATGCATGCTGTAAATTAATGGAATGTACTAAGTTGGAACTAATGAGAAAACCCTAATAATAAACTCGTTAAGTTATATGCTTGCTTTCTTTTGTTCATGCTTATTCTATCAATATTCAATAGTGACTGTAATTCATCTGACTGTAATTTGTATCTTCGTGAAATCTTGCTTTTATTGTGCTGTTCATACTCATTTTCTTAAGCTGAGGTTGAACTTGGGAATTCTGAAGCTTCAATGTCTTGTTTTTTCCTAACTGGGGCATGTAGGTCAACACTTCTCAGATGATTAACAGATGAATGGTATGCATGTTCTTACACTATCCGTGTGTCAGACTCATACTAATACATGTCACAATGTTCGTTGAAGATCCAAATAAGCCGCAGCCAGCATGCTAGATTCCTTCAAAAGTTCATTGCAGCTAAGTCTCTTTCTGATCAAGTAATGTAATTAAGTCATACGTACTTCCCCGGCCTTATTGATGCATTACCTACTGGCTAGAACTATATATTTGCATGCCACCATTAATTCCTTAATTGGTCAATGTGCTTAAAAGTTAAAAACATACTATAATTGAAGTTCATAGCTTTAGGGATTTTTCATTGATTTACATTAAGCTCTTGTTGAAATTTTGTGGTTAACTTCATTACCTTTGCTCATTGCAAAAAATCCATTTTATTCAAAGAAAAACTATATAGTTTTCAATGCATTAATCTCTAAGGTTTTAATTTCCATGAAATTGATCTTAGTCAAATTAAGTTAGCAATTAATTAATACTATTGTACTATAGGCTTAATTAGACTCATGTCAATTTTTTTGTGTATTTTTATTGGATGTTTTTTTTTTTTCAAAATCAACTTTGCTACAATCCAGTCTAACCGCACACATTCCAAAACAAGAAGAAAAACTTCAACCTCTCTCCATAGTTTAGGTTAGCTTAAGATTATCTCTAAAGGTCAAAAGCCATATTATTATTTAATCTTATGGACTCTTCTGCGGCTGACTAAATAAGTAAACTAATTGATTACGGTTGTAAGGATTTGGATCAAAATTATGCCCTTTTCTGTTGACAAATTTCTCGTTTGGTAAGCCATGGTCATGATATTTGTTAAAATTGGTTGACAAATTTCAAGAACCCTACCTGTCCTTTGTCAAGCTATTCAAAAGCTCGGCCCCATCACCTTAACCAACTTTCAGAACCAATTAGTATTAAGATTAAAGCCAGACGAAAGCGGTAATAAAACGAGTGGAAAAACAAATAATTGAATGCACAAGATTTATTATTAGTACCGAACTCTGAATTGAGGGTTAAAACCTTGAAATTACAAAAAAAAAAAAATGATTAAGGCAAAAATAAAGAGTGATCTTTACCTTTGTACTTCGAGACTTAAGTTAGAAGTTAAAACAAAAGAGAAAAATAGAAAAATAAGAAAGGAGTTAGATTAGAATGATAGTATTTGAATGACTTTATAGGTGAAATATGAGAAGTTTGTGAAGTAAAATAATAATGTAACTAAGTTGATGTGATATTGTGCATATTAGATTGATTCAAAAGTTAAAAATATCTTTAACTCTTTGTTGATAATATCTAATAAAAAAAAATTAATTTATTCTCTGGACCAAAAAATATATCTAACATTTATAATGATTCATCTTCAACGTAAGAGTTGTCAATTTTGTAGTTTTTATCAAAAGAAATTACAAATGTGATAGTAAAATTTTATCCAGAAGATCTTTTAAATATAAACATAATTAGAATAATCAAATTTCATATGCTATGTGTAAAAGCAATCAATATTAGAATAGTTATTAAGAATTAATACTTAATAAATACTACTAACATTGAAAGATATTAGCTAGTCAATTACATGTGCTTTATATATGAATCTCCTTCACATGCTTTAACAAATCTTTTCAACTTTTTCTTCCACGTTTTCTCTTTCCACTGATCCTGAAGCTTGAAATCAGTAGTACTTCTCCACGTTTGCTGGCAAAAAGCATTTACCATAGTTTTGTAGAGTACAATTATAATTGTTATATAGACCAGACAGGCAAAGGGAAATGCCACAGCATGAGCCAATAATTCTGAAAATCAATAATATTGGTAGCCATTAAACAACAAGCTTATAAGTAAATATTTCAATCTGTAAAGCGAGAAAAAATATCCCAGGTGAAGAAGAAGCAGAACAGAAAAAGTTCAAACAAGAAACCAACATTTCAAAACTCTGACTTAAATGAGAGCCATAATATTCCGTCAAAACGATGACGATAATAAAACCAAACGCATCAAGGGGCCATGTGCCTGGATTGGAAGACGCCCACGCCCCCTAGCCAATTGACAACAACCAAACGACGACTTATTTCCCTTTTTTTTTTAATTTTATTATTAATCCTCTTTTATTAAAACCCATATTACCAAATAATCAGATTATCTTTTGGTTTTTATATATAATGATAATGGCACTCACTAACATGAGAAATTTCTATCAATCTTGTCCGGTATTTAGGCTATCAAATTCAGGTGTAAATTAGTTCTATTTCGAGGGAATTAGCAGTCGGAAGCCTTTGATTTGGCCTGTCGAAAGTGGGATTGAGAGATGATGATAGTTCTTGGAGTTGCAGCATTTTGTCATTGTTTGTAAGAATATATACCTTGCCTGCAAATGTACATGTATAGACTCTAATTCCTTTATATATAACACCTTTTTTCCTTATAGTAAGTTATAAGAGCCACACTTAATTCTATATTTTTAGCATAACACACAGCTTGGAAGGTTAATCAGTTGATTATAAGAAAAATAATATATATCTATTATGATATACAAATATATATATATATATATATATACACACACACACACACAGAAAGAGAGTCAAAATATATTTATGCTAAATAATTGAAAGAATATATAATTTCAAATTCACAAAAAAAAAAAAAGAAGATGAAACACTAAAAGGTTATAAGTAATAAATTTAAGTATATTTAATCTATATTCAAGCCCATCTTAATTTAATTATATATCAATATATATTCTCATAATCCACAATTCTCTTCCAGAGGCGACCATGCAAAATGCTAATTAAGGTTATAGATTTTGATAATAAGATTTAAAATTAAACAAAATAAAAACCCAAAAACATCAAGCTTGTTTCATGCTTAGAAGAATTCGACTTATGATTCAACTCCAAGATGCATCAATAGGTTAAAGTAGAATGAAACAAATAATCCTTCATCACCCAAAATTCTTTTTCTTCCAAATGTTATTCAGTTCGTAATTAAATTGAGACAGAATGGCCTGCTTTCCTGAATTCTACTTTTAAAATTTTAGTCCTTACGCATTGTCAAGGGGATGTAGCTCAGATGGTAGAGCGCTCGCTTAGCATGCGAGAGGTACGGGGATCGATACCCCGCATCTCCATGTTTTTCTGCTTTTCTCTCAAGTTTTCTGATCCAGAAAGCCCAATTATATACATATCTTTTTGGGTTGAGATTCACCCTATTTGGCCCAAAAGATCCAAAATCCATCCCGTCATTTGGCGAGCCGAATAAGATTAAGGAGCAAGTGAATATCAAGAAGTAGAAGTTATGGGAGCATACCCGACTTTGTAAAAGATTTTCCTTGGAAGAAAGCTAAGAGTTTGCTGCTGCAAAGACTAGTTTCTGTAGGACACAATACATTGAAGTTGTCTCTTGTTACTCTTTTTGTCTTTAGCTGTTTATCTGATTTTATATATTCTATATCTAGAACTAGAAATCAAGAATCGATGATTCCCTTGGTCTTACTGTTGGATGTTTGATAACTGATTTCTTAAAGGAGACATCCCAAGGAGCATTTCGCAGCTCCGAGGTTTTTTCTGTTCCTAAATATTCTATATCTGTGTTGTGTTTTATATTGTGATGATTTTGATTTGCTGTTATGCAGGGAAAGGGCTTGAAAATGAAAGGACAGCTCTTGGCAATCGGTGGCTTCTTTGTTGTTGTTGTTGTCAAGTTGGTTTCTACATATTTTGTGATACAAAAGTGGGTATTTCTCTTGCATGTTGTGAATGGTGGAATGATGCAAGTTCTGTCGCTATGGAGAAGTTTGCTGGAAGAAAATGGAGGTTATGGAGGCAACCGCCTTTTCATGCAATATGGATTTTCAGCAGCAGATGCAGCAAGTCAAGTTCTTCAAGGGACCAAATTCTTTGTTTCGTTTGCCCAACTAACTACATTGTTATCAGTATGTTCCTTTACGGCGATTGCAAAATCATCAATCGCCTGCGGCAGTTGACTAAACAAAAGAAATAGCTGAGTATTAAGAGGTGTAGTTTTCTTCCTTCATTTCAATCATGCAGAAGGATAAAACACTTTCCTTTAAAACTGTACAACGTAGATTGTAGAGTATACAAATCAAAGGGCTTTTTGTCTAATTATCTCTGCCCCATAAAGTGTGAGAAATAAAATGGAAAAGTAATTCTTTTGTAATGAAAAACCTGTAACCCAATGCCCTGCTTCCAATTTACCATTGCCACCATTAAACCTCTATACTATCAATGTTTCCTAGAATAACAGAGCACCTGCTCCTGGCAACCACCATCAGCATAATGAAAGTGTTAATGGATAGATTGATAGTTTTTGCACATCATGGTAACAGAAGAATTAACCAGTTCACTTTGTACTACGCCCTCTCTTTCTGAAATGTGATGAACAGCCTACTATTCATTTAATTTAACAAGTTGATTTCCTGAAAATTTAAGAAGTACAGATCCAATTAAATTATAAATTGATTCTAGATGGAAGGAACCACCAAGCACCAGAACAATCATACCTGGCGTCAGTGACTCTGGATCTTGGGAACTCTCCTTATCTTCGTGGTGGCTGGTGTTTCCAGCTGTGGACAAGTCAGGAGAAATTGACGGGTACTGGCAGTAGGCTGAACGTAACTGATTATATATCTCTTCTATCGTCCCCCACCGCTCGTCTTGTCGATCCATCTCTATTAGAACCTGTACAACCAACCCATCACAGGAGAAAAAAATGGTTGGGGAGTTTCCTAGAGAGAGATAGAGAGATTTCTGGTACTTACCTGTGCAGGACTCCTCTTAAAAACAGGGGAAAACCTCTGCCTACAGTACTCATTGAACAGAACAGTGAAAAATATTAGGGGAATAGTGAAACCAGAAGCAATGGGTGATCGTTTTATGCCAAAGACCCCAAGGGCAATAATTTGTGTCAACACCAAAGAGAAGATTGTTGTGTTATGAACAATAGGCCAGAACTGTCCCCCACTTTCATATTTTGATACGTATACATGGAGAATCTGAAAAAAAGAATGAACATTGAATAAAATGTATCATCAAAGAACAGGTAAAAGTTGAATTCTTCTGAATATCTCTCTTCCACTTGACTCAATGGTCATCAATAAAATTATGCTTGACCTAACAGTGAAAATCATGCACTGAAAATACATACAACATAACACTACAATCAACTTGTATCATAAATCGGATTATAAGTACTAAAAATTTATAAGCTATTTTACAATACTGAGGAAATTAAAGCTTAGAATGTAATTCCATAAAGCAGCTTTTTCAGGAGTTAATGATAAACAACTGTTCTGCAAACAAGGACCACATGTAAGCTTAAAATAACATTCTATATATATTAAGAAAAGAGATTCCTATGAAAATTAAGAAACTTCGTGGGCCACAAGCCGAACAATTTCAAATGATATTAGCTGTTATTTTATTGACAAAAGCCAAAAGGAGGACATCAAAAATTGATCAGACAAAAACTCACCTGGTTTCTATAGACAAGGAAAGCAAGAAAGAAGTAAACCAGCAAGAAGGGCAATATTAAGGGTGCCATGATAGAACAAGTGAAGCCAAGGAGTCCAAAAAGAAGAAGTCTCGGAATTTCAGTGTGATGAGGGAAGGTTAGAGCACAATTAGATGGTTCTTCCTTAATTCTTAGTATGAATTTTCTGAACACATTGCAAAGAAGAGCAAAGAGTTGTATTACTTCACAGGACAAGCTTGCCCAGCCTGATGATAAAACATAAGTCGTGAAGAAGGTAGCCTGCAGATACTCAAGAACAACAACTACAGTTAGAAGTAATCCTGAAGATTCACATTCACGTGACATATAAAAGGGACCAGAAGCAATCTTTGTCCTATGTGAATGTGCCAACAAAAATGAGGGCATAAAAATGTACTGCCGTTTTTAAGACTTTTGCAGTAAGATATTAGGTCTTGCTGTGGAGCTTGTCAAAACCATATGTTGGATATCCACAATTTCAGAACTCGTGGAAGATAAAAATTCCAAGAGTATAGTTTAGATCCATATAAAAAAGAATCTCATGCATCTCCAAGAGACCAAGATAAATCTAAACCTAAATGATATAAGAACTAGTGAAGTTTTATTAAACCAACTATTATGGTTTGGCCCAAAAAAAAAAAAAAAGCCAACTATTATGGAGTCATGGAAAATTACCTGGGCTGGCACTGCTTTGGCAAGTTGTATAGGTATGTCTCTAACACTTGAGAAAACACTCAATTGACTGATTACAGATCCAGAAAGAACATTAACGAAGAAAACATTCCAGATTGTGAAGTACAAAATTTTAATGCATGCACTCCTTTTCCTCTCACTGCGTGAAACATTTCCCTCCATCGCGGAAAATAGCATCATGGTTGGTGGAACAGCATACAGAAATAATATCAGAATCACACTTGGTAGATAACCTGTTACCAGATGATTCATGTACTTCCTGCACAGTAGAACAAACAGGATAGGTTCACAAACAGGTCAAATATATTCCAGATCCTCTTCAATAATTACCAAATGTCCCCTTTTAACTACTTCCAATTTTCCACTAATACCATGAAAGAGCAAATTATGATGTATTCAAAGGATCAAATGAAAGAAGCCAGTACAAACCAAAATACTTCCTTAAGCTGATCAGTTAGGTGCCACCTGTACTGGCTCCTGAAGAATTTTTTTTCATGCATTTTTTTTCCGTATAAATGGGTATAGTCTAACATGTTGTTGCAATTTCTATATCCTAATTTATTGCACATGACTGCAATGTGTAATGATAGCAACATAATTGAAAAAAACAAGCTAACACCGCTTTTGCAATAGAGTATGAAGAATGATACTCACTGTTTTAAAATTCCTTTAAGAAATGGAAATGTATGTGATAGCTGGTCTAGTTGAGTCAAGCCTTGCACAAATGTAACTGGAACAAGAAACACTAACATAAAAACAATAGCACCTAGAAGAGTTGCTATTTTACGAAGCCAAACTTGTTTGTACGGTATGGAGAGGTTTGACCAATAAACATCATGTGGCTCTGGGGCTAGCTGTGTCACCCATAGCATAGGATTTGATGATTGAAGAACTTGAGCAGCAATAACAGCAGCATAGCGAGTCCTGAAGAAAACAAAAGCAGCTGGACGTTCCTGTACCCGAAGCCAAAATAACATAGGACATCACATGGCCATTTCCATCAAAGTTTTAAAAGTTAATGATCAATATTTGCTTTCAAACATCAACACCCACATGATGGCGACAGGAATGATAAGAATGAAGCACATAAAGAGAGAGTGACCATAAAGAAATAAAGAAACAAGCATTCAGATAATGTAGCAGGCCACTACTACATCACCATATCCTTTTAATAGTTAGAATTATCAGTTACAGTTAATGCTGGCATTTATGCAAACAGCAGGAAACTAGTTGCTCAAATTTAGTGATACAATTTACTTTCATGCATCAATCACCTAGAAAAGGAGGAAAATGATCTAACATTAAGCTGAAATACCCAGGCCAACAAAGGTTCAGAATGAGATTAATAGCATGTAAATGTCCGAAAGAACATGCAAAATGCCTTTTAGCATCAAATGGCAGCAATTCCTAGGGCGACAAAGACCAGATCTATATCCACTAGAGTTCTTTGTTGTCAGAGGAAAAACTAGATCATGACGAACAAAAGATGCTTATTGCACATTAAAATAATCCAGAGGAGGTATAAAAGCAAAACGACTTGAAGACTGAAAACAATATCTGAAACAAGTCAATTTTCGCAACAAATCACCAAAAAAGGCAAACATAAATTATATATTATTTAAGCATACATACTATAACCCTGAAATCAAAATTATTAGATTCATCTTATTCCAAAATTTCAACCTTTTCTCTTTGAGTTGGTTGCAACCCATCAACGCTTGTTTTACTCTTAACACTTTCTGCTTCATTGTTAAGCACCTTAAAGGAATGTGTAGTTCCTCCACAAAGACAGCACGGCATAGAGCTCTTTCCACACTGTGGCTCAATGGTTTTTAGCATTCTGTACATCTTCTCTGCATCCTTCTGCAAAGACGGCACAGAATGTTGTGTTTGTCCGCAGCAGAGTAGAAAAGCAGAAATGCAAGTTCATTTTGACATTACTCAACTCAGTTCAACTCAAAAAAACACCTAATAAGGACAACCAAATGAAATTGAGAAATTGGAAAATTCAACTTAAATGCAATGAACCAGCATCAGCACACTAAGTCCTATCCTATTCTTTAAAATAAATAAAGAATAATTGTCTGGTAACTAGTAGCAAGTCACAACTGTATAATAACACTGAATAAAGTCAACAATATAAAGATCTAAAAGATGATCTCAAAATCAAATTGGAAAAAATCAAGATTACTTCTTCAACATAGCATGCGATGGACCCATAATATTTTACTTCTTTTAAAGCTCTCATATCAAGTTTTGAGTTGTGAATTCCATTAAAGAAACCATTTTATATGGTCTATAGAACACAAGATAAAAAAAAGGGTAAAAGTAGAGCAAACATTTTCTGTTTATCAAAACTAAGGACATCCGTCTCAGAAGAACACTAAATGCATTCATTAGATGGCTAGAAAGTAGTGAATAACTACACTAATGACATAACCAGCTAATATAAAAAAAATGGTACTAAAGAAATTTTCAAAATTAAAGCCTTTTCAAATAACAAAATTCATATAAATTTATGTCACTCAAAGATAGATGCATACCATTAATTTATCAATGGTACCAGCCTGATATACCATCTGGTGAGACACGTAGCTTGCTGGATAATAAGTTGAAAAGAACTTTTCCACTGAATCACTGTATGAATGATCTGGAGACCACGGGATGCCACGGACTAGAACTGTGAAATGACTTGGACTGGGAGGAGATCCAGTAATATGTGCTAGCCTCATTTTAGTGATACTTTTATACTCCTAGAGTAAAAATCTTTAAATGAATGCTAGAAGAAATTTAAGAATGCATCAATACAAGTCAAACTATATAGGAGTAACTGCTGCATTTTGGTTTGTACATCCTTACAAAGTAAAGCAGAACACAAGCTGAGCAGGATATAATGTACAATGCAAGACAATGAGTCCAAAGCCTGGAAAATTCAAAACAAAAGGAAAAACAATCAATGAATAGCTGCTTTTCTCCAATGTATTTTTTACCATAAAACCACGTTATTGAAGTGTCATCTCAACATCTCAGCCAGGCTATTTATACTTGAAATTAATTCTTGATTAGAACTCTCTTAGGAATCTTATAAAAGTGTAAATAGAAAAATCAAAAGACTTGGATTCTTCCTCTTGGTTGCATAAGCAAATATGTTAAACTAGAATACTACGGGACATCCCAAAACCAAAAGTAGGACAGAATAAGTCCAAATTTCATTTCTGGTCAAGACATTCATGGCTTGACAAGGCAGCATCCAGATAAAATTTCATTTTAAAAAGAACTAAAGCAATTATCACATCATAATAATTGGTTCAACAGAACATACCATTTTGAACCTTCTTTTACATTTCCAATTGTAAATACTTCCAGTGATTCTGCATTGATTTGCTTGTGCTGCATATCTTGTCCATAATAATTTACTGGAAGCACTAGAAAAATGCAAATCATAGCAGCAATGATGAATACACGAATACTGTAAAGAACAGGAGGAAAATAGCATTGCAGTTAGTAAACCTGCAAAAGCAAAAACAGGCACTGACCAACCACAATTAAACTACTAAAGCACTTCAAAAAGTTTTGGATATAGTTGCAAGCTTAGACTTCGGGAGACACTTAGTAGCAAAAATTTCACCCACAAAATTGAAGGACATAAAAATTTTCCATATGGGGAGACTTGATCACCTGAAAACAACTATTCTCATGAAAACTACAGCATCCACACCACCGACAGCCAATATATCTTCATCAGTTGCTTGCCAGACCCTCATGATCCAGCTTGCAGACGGCACAAGTCTTTCAAGGCAAAAAGGATCACTATACTTTACTGGTTCTGAAACCAGCCTCTGCGTAAAATACACACATCCATTGCTTGGTTGTTTTCTCAGTACGGAATACAATGACAGAAGCACAACACATATAGCTATATTGATTCCGGCGGAGGTTAAAAGAGCAGTAATGTCCATCCCACTCCACGATATCCTCTTTTCAAGCTATAAAAATCCAACAACTCAAGCACTTAACCGTGGAAGGACATCATATTACTTTCAATTTGCTCTAAAGAGAGGAATGTTTTTGACCCAATGGTAATGCAGAAAGTAATTTGGCCTCAATTTGACACAGAACCAGAAGCTGCAAAATTGATATGGGATTCGTCGTGGTTCAGAAACCAAACATTTAACAACAATTTTCGTCGATCATATGTCAAAACAAAAGCTTCGATGAAAATTAAAGTAAAAAGACAATGCTTAAACTAAATACAGGCAAAAAGCATTAGCCAACTTCAAAAAATAAATAAAAACCTCAGGAACCCTTTTTCTCTTTTTCTTTTGATTCCTTTCTATAGTTCCAGGACATATAATTAATACATGTACAAAAGACTAAAGAAATACCAAGAATTTTTCCAAAAAGATTACAAAACCAAAAGTAACAAACATTATATTTAAAATGAAAATGCACCCAACAATTAATCCAACGAGAAAATTTAAACAAAATTAAATCATTTTGGACCAACAACCGAAAAGAAAAAATAAAAGATTAATCAAAAGAAAGCACCTGTAACAATATCAGAACCGGAAAAGCGTAAGAAAGCAGAGAGATTCTGATGCCAAACGATTCGCCTAGAAAGTAGGAAACCAAACACAAGAAAATGTTGAGCCTGTTTATTTCTCATACGCCAAAGGCCACGCATTTGCTTCAATTTCAAATAAAAAAAAAATGAGCAATTTGCAGGGAAAGAAATCAAGAACCCTAATTTAGAAAAAAGAAGTTATAAAGATTGGAATATCTTGCGAGGAATTTATTGAAAAAAAATTCCCACAATAAACGCAAAGATTTCCTAGAATGCCACGTGTAAATCAGTAGTTAACATTTGACAATGCGGAAAATAGAAAACGAAATCGGATTTTTCATTTTTTTTCTTACGGCCATGGCAACGGAAGCGCCACGTGGCAGAAAGAAGGGGACAGAACAAAATGTCAGATCCTGCTGGCTGCTACTCAAGTACAAGTGAATAACCGCCTTTGCTGTCCTGTGGAATCTTGATTCTTGATTCTTTGTTTTTGTCTGTTTATGGGTTTTATTACCCTGCATCACAACCCTAGTTATTTTAAATGGAGTCGAGGTCGTAAAGAATGAAAATTGTTGACTTGTTGACCTTTGGGAAGGAGGATTTATCAATCATTTAAAATTTTCTTTTTTTAATTTTAAATTAAATTCACACCAATTATAATTTTCTTTTTTATTTTAAATTAAATTTAAACCAATATTATCTATTTAACTTTCTCTTAAAATTATAATTGGATTGATAATACCCAATTTTTTTCTAAACTTTAATCATATACGCGTATATATGGCTTGCAAAAACCGCAAGGGAAATGGGCCTATGCTGTCTAAACTCCAAAAAGGGCTGTTGCTTTCTCTCGTAGAAAAGCCAACTTCAACTACTTTATACATGAATGGACTACTTCACATATATTTATAATAAATAAATAAATAAATATAAAAATTACTCATAAAATAACTTAACGCTCTTGTTCATCGCGATCAGCTGACGATAATTTTCGAACCCAGTTGCTGAGCGGTTTCCACCTACTTATACTGGAAAGAAAATAAAAGTAGACGTGAAGACGTATTCTTGTATGCGACAAAACGAAACCGTTTTTCTGCAATGTCGCTGTAAAAATTTTGAAAATCTGTTGTTTTATGTCTAAAAGATAGGGAGTGGAGTCAGCAAAAAATTTATGCTCGGTAACCGTAAACTCAAAAAGGATCGGACAAAGTTCTTTAAGATAGCAGTTTTTTAAGCTGTAATAATTGACAGACCAATGCGGGTTTTCCTTGGCGGTTCGTTTGTTTTTGTTTTCGTTTTTTCTTTTTTCTTTTTTCTTTTTATTTTCAGTTTTTTGGAAAATTAAAAAAAAAAACATCTTTGATATATTATTTTAATTTTTTTGTTTTTAAAAATAAAAAAAAAGTTTTGAAAAGTTTTAAAAATTATTGAAAACAGAAAATTTGTGTTTTTAATTTTTTTGAAAAAAATTTGGCACCGTTATCACATCGGCACTGTTTATAAAAATTATAATTAAATCGTTGCAGCGATGTTTTAAATAATATATTAATAAAATAATATTTTTATTATATAAATATTATATATTTATTATATAAATAACATTATATAACTAAGTAATATTGTACTAGTAATCTAATATATTATATTAATAATACAATATTATTTATTTATTAATATAATATTATTTTGTTAATATAAAGATATTATATTTTAATAATATATTAATAATAAATAATACTATTAATATATTATTTATATCATATTAATATATATTATTTATGAATATATTAACTTAATAATATATATTATATTATTAATAAAATATATATAATATAATATATTATTTATTAATATAATATTTATAAATAATATTTTAATTAATAAATAATATATTATTAAATATTATTATATTATTAGTAATAAATAGATTCTAAAAACTTTAACCACTTTCTCTTATGTGTTTTTATTTTCATATTTCTAAAACAAAAACATTTTATTCAAACATGTTTTCAAATTTAATAAATTGAAAATAAAAGAAAAGTAAAATAAAACAAGACAAAATTTTTAAAAACATAAAACACATAACAATACCAAATCACTCCTAACTTAATGCAAACATGCTCCACCATGAATTATCATATTGATGAAATTATGTTACAATTGTTGATCATTTTTTCTTGACCTCCCAGTCGTACAAATAACTAATATGAGAACAAAATTATCGAGTCATGTGAACATCATAGATGCAATGGTAGACTTGATAGGCTGCAAAAATCACAAGCCCCTGGACACCGTTCCAATAACTGGTTCTAAGGTGGAAATTTGAGTTGGAACGATGAACAAGTAGTCATTAATCAATTGCCATATTCTGCCATTATGAGTGTATGGTTTAAACCAATCATCCCTTTTATGATCATCAGAGATAATTTTTGAAACAATTTTCTTTCTAGACAACAGGAACCTAATTATTGCAACTTGGAATTGGTTTAAACCAATTATCCCCTTTATGATCATCAGAAATACTTTTTTATCATGTTCATTAATTAAGTTTATCAAATAATCGTAAATAATATTTTAAAATTTATTAATTAAATAAATAAACTATGAACATAAAATTTATTCACATTCGATTCATTCTTCATTCATGCTTCGTACATCAGCGCTGGAATATGAGTCGGCCTCATTTTATGTCCACTTTGGAGACATCAAGCTCTTACTCTATCCTTGACTAGGACCAATAGTGGACCACCCGAGCAGACCTTTCTATTATAAAGTTTCCAGGTAATTTTACACGAGGCTCATAATTAGCACTACGCAATATGCAGAAAACAACCAAAACAAGTGAGGTGATGGCTAGGGTTAAAACATTCTTTGCTGCTCCAGACATGAAAGAACAGAGTACAAAGCTGGAAGCCCACTTAACTGGGCTAGATGTTGAAGTAAGTGAAGCAAGTTAGAAATATATTAGGAGTAGCTGTCTTTTCTTGTTGGTAGGGGAAAAAATTGACACTAGTAAATACTCTAGAGGTGCAACTTGGGTCGGCAAATCCGAGAACCAACCCAACCCAAGTAGTATGGGCCACTTTGGGTCGGGTAAGAGATCAACACAGGTTGGCAAGAACCTAGAGTTACAATTATGAAATATCAAGTGAACAAAAAGGATAGTTAGGCATTTCAGCTTGTTTGTTGCAGTAAGGCCAGATAAATGTTTTAATTCTCAATTAAAGAATACATAACATATTGGATGGAATTCAAAAGTAGGCTAATGAAAGCAAAATAAATATTTTATACCAAAATTTAAACTATGCTACTGAACATTTAATCAGCTGCACTATGGAACTGGCTAATGGTGAAGAAATTACCATGCAAGCAAATCAATTGTATGACCTTAGGTGAAAAATCTGGCAACTGGGCTTTATATGAGTTCTTTTCTGCAGCCTGACTGAACTTCTTGGAGGCAAATTCATTTTCTTCTAAGCTAGTCTGGACAAAATATTGTGCCCACCAAGACGAGCTCCTCAATTTAGCCTTCAGAAATCAAGAAATCACTTCGGCATGTCACATTTATTACTATTAGATGATATGGAAAAGACAATCCAATTGAAACCAAAATCTAAGAGACTAAGACTAGTTAAACATCTCAACCTTTTATTACTTATTACATAGAATATGTATATTACAAGTTTAAATGTTTCATAAAAAAGATATTAAGATAACTCAAATTGCAGAAATCAAGCATCATTTAATCCTACTTTCACTCTTAACAAATATAGATACATGGAAACTTTAATTGGTAAAAGGCAACCTATTATGCTATTCAGTAATACAATCGTCAAGGTTGAGAACATTAATCAAAGATCTGCACATTTCCTAATTACTGTTTGGGTACAGAAACAAACATGCCACCACGCATTCCATGTCAAACTACATGGAAATTCAGGAACCCATCTCCACAATTCTACATATTGACCATGCAACAGATAAATGAAAACGCATAGTCCATTTGGTAATGAAGAAAAGGAAAAGAGATGCTCATTAGATTTAGTGTCCCACCTCTCAATAATAATAATAGCCTATATGACTTAAACTTTAACCAAAAAACTGCTTCACACTAGCAGAAAAATTCTACAGGATATGCACCAAAGATTCTTTTAGCATAGTATCCTGTTGATTACAAGTTTCTTTTAGTATCTTCTCTGTGCTAGTTAGAATTAAGAGATCAGATTGATCTCTCTGAACTCAAGTGCCAGAGCAGTACTTTGTTGATTGAGATTCATACTTGAATTCTCTATCCACATTAACAACAATAACAAAAGTAATAGTAAAAGCAAATATGGTGAAAGTCATCCACCCCAAATAATTGGTCAATGAGATGAGATTGGAGTTTTTGTGTGATAATAAATTTTTGTTTTAGGTTGTACATTACATCTTTTTTTCATTCACTTTCCTTTCCAGGCAGCATGCTTGGTTTTACGATGGCCAATTGATTGCATATAATTTGAGCAATAACTGCAGCTAAGCACCACTCTTTCTCAGAAAGCCTCAAAACAAATTGTTCCAAAGTTACAGAAATAAAACATCAAAGAACTGGACTGCATAACAACACAAAAAAACTGAAACACTCAATGCCACTCACACCCAAGCAATGAACAAATCATGTCTCTACACACCAGCTTAACCAATCCATCAGCCAAACAATTCTTTCCCTTAGAATATACTGGAATTTGGAAGGGTTTAAACTATTGACGAGATAGTTACGCATTCAAAGTTCGCAAGTCTGCCAACTTACTGTGAAAGTTCTACTTGACAACATTCATTTACAGGCCTATCCAACAACAAAGAATACAGACGGTGTCCATGTTCCTATCGATGATCAAGGCTCAACAATTTATATTAAGAAACAGTAATTAGGGAACATAGTAACAGCCACTTACAGCCCTTCCATATTTGGAAACCTCTGCAGCTTTAGCTTTCCGCTGACCTGGAAAACCTATATTTATAACAATTTGAAAAGTCCTTGGCATGTCAAAAGGCTCAAATTATTTCTTTTTAATCACATGGAGCATATTAGCTACAGAAACACTGCTATAAAAGCTTAATGCATTTTTTTACAACACAGACAGGTCTATTAAAAGATGAACACGAAGAAGAAGATGGCCATGATGACATAAATATAGCATATAAGGAGTTAACGTTGGCAGTGGATCTAAACAAAGAATCAATCAGAAGTCCACCAATAGAAAAAAAAAAAGGGTAAATTTGGCAAAATAAAAAAGTTAAGTGGTTTAAACCATCGGCAAGCAAGCATAGATTATGACTTGTAAGTTCGGGAATCAAAATAAACTTGGGTTGCTTTTACCTGTAAATACTACAACTCCATCAGCAGATACCCTTGCAAAATCAGGAAGTGTCTTGTTGAGATATCTTGGAGACAAGTAATCTAATGCATCTGAAACAATTACAAGATGGAACGACTTCAGCCGGTATGGAAGAGGAAATTTGATGTCAGACACACGCACAACACCATTTCGCACTAGTCCCTTGCAGTTAGTATCAGCATTCTCAACACCCCAAGCTTCAGTTTCGTCCTCTTTTAACTAATTCAAAACCACTGAACAAGTATCACGACCAACATGCAAAACTTTATGCATGCTATCACCATATGCTTTCTTTAAAACGGAAATCGCTCGTTGAACCTCAAATGTGCAGGAAAAGTCATCTGCACATGACCATCAAATCCCATTTTAAAACTAAAGGTCACTTCTTACATAACAGTATATCAACAGGCATAAGGATACAAACCCATCTTTATAAAGCATCAACAAACACATTCAAGACGCGGACTTTCTTTATATGCAAATTCAAGCAAAAAAAAAAAAAAATTTACCTTCAACACGGGTTAACAGGTTCCTTTATGCCTCCGGATCGACCTATTGCAGGAAAAATTATTCTGATCTGATATGATCAACTTGGAAATATAAAAGTTCATGATGGATCATTTATTACAGATTAAGTAATTAATCAATGTTTAATTAATAAGTCTAATCAGAAAAGCAAACCTGAGCCGCTATGATAATACGTTACAATAAGAAATACGCCCTGACAAATTAAAAAAGTAAAAATAAAAATTCAAATAAAAGGACAAAATTTGTAGAAACATGAACAAATAAACAAAAAAAGAGTACCAGGACAATTAGAAGAACGGAGAAAAGGAGGAGAGCGAGATCTGGAATGCGAAAAGAGAGCAGCTCCGCCGCCGGCGTCTCCATATCGTCTAGAGGAATTCACTGGCCTCCTCGACATGCCTACGAATTTTTATTACCCAGAGACAGATTGAATGATGTGTATTATTGTGCGAGAAGAGGGAGAATCGGATCTCAGTTTTATTTTTAAATTAATTTTAATAAAAGAAAAAAAGAGAAAAGCTTTGGGGTTAATCGGCGCGTTCATGTCGGCCGTGACATCCAACGGTCACAAAAATGAAGCCTTTATAATCTCTTTGGCCCAATGTCGGCCTGATTTTAAGCCCTTAACTTAAAAGGCCTCGTCTACGAAGAATCAATCGAGTTCTAGAACTCTATTGCTTATTTATTTATTACTGCAAATTCAGGTTTTAAGAGGATCAAATTCAAAGGCGGTGAAAAGAAATAGATTGAAGTCGATTGTGAAACTCTACCCGTGCTATTAGCGTTTGGATTGAAATTGAATTGAAGCAAACGGATTGTTGAAATTTCGATATTCGGAAATTGAGGAATCAAAAGCAATGGGAGGCGATGATGCTGATAGGGCTTATAAAGAGAAAGAGGACGACCCCAAACTTTGGGGAATTTTCCTCTTTGGTTTAATCGGCGCCACTGCGACAACTTTCGCTGTAAGTTCTCCTATTTCGTTTTTTAAAGTTTCAACCTTTTCCATATTTTAATTGATCGTTTAAATTTTTAATAAGCTGCACTGTTAGGTTTTTTTTTTTTTTTTTACTTTGATTTCTTTGCCTTCAATAAAATTTAAGAATAAAGTTTTTTTTTTTTTTTTGGCATGGAAACTAATGGTGTTAGATTTTCTTTCAAGAAAAAGTTAGTCTTGGTGGGAGCAGCTATTTGTTAGAATTTCCCTTTTGATTGTAGTTGCAATATGGCAGGTTAGTCAGCTAAGGAGGTCTATTGATTGGATATATACTCAGGGATACAGAAAAGAAGTTCTTTCCTAATTCAGCTAACCGTAATTCCATGTGTAGTTGAATTATGAACTAGTTGAGGGAAAATCTTTCCTTATAATACTTCATCGTTAATATCTTCATTGTTTTCTTAGAAGGGAATGGTGGAAGGAAATATACTTTTTTTTTCTTAGAAATATTCAGTTGTTTTCTATGAGGGTGCTGATTGAATTGCTTTCGTAACTAAAATTTAGACTCGTGGCTGGTGGTTTTGCTGAAAATATACTGTTAATAGGATGATATGAATTTTTCTAAAGCAAAGATGAAATGGGTTTAAAGAGGAAGATTCACTTCTGTGGTGTATTTGAAATCAAAATTATTGCCTTGATACTGATAGTGCTATCATAATGTGATAAAAGTGATGAAGGTCATGAAAACATTTTATCAAGCATGAGTACCTTTGTTTTCCTGTGCTGATATTTTTAGATTTTAAGAATATGGTTGAGATGTATTGTGTTTGACCGCTGCCTTGTTGAATATTTGTACCAATCTAATATGTTTTCTGATATCTTATAGATTAACTTCGATATCACAATCAAGTATTACGCACAACTAAATTTGTCCATTTATGCCTCAAACAGTTGAATATGCCATTTCTTATTTCTCTTTTATGTATTCGTCAATCTGATCTTGTCTGTACTTGCACCATGAAAGTTAGCCAGGTCACAATCATCATGGAAAGGAGGTTCTTTTCGAACATCCATTCAGGAGGAAGCATGGAAATGGTATAATCGTAGAATGCAAGAAGAGTATGAGGAAGAAATGGAGAGAGTGGTAAGTTTTGGGTTATGTTATGTTATTCTCTTTATTTTACTATCATATTACTTCGTACAGGTCTGGCAACATGGTTTCCAAAGTGTTAAATTAGATTGTTTTAAATTGTGAATTGTTATAGGCAGTTATATAAGATCTTTGAAGGATTAATAAGTCATAATGTGTAGTATTTAATGATGGTGAAAACTTGTGTCTTGGGAATTTTTGAATCTCTAGGAGATGTATAACCCAGCCTCATGTAGCTATTTGTGCCATCATTCCCGTGGAAGTTATCTGTAATGATATTTTTCAGAAATTCTTTTACATTGGTACAGAAAGAATGTGAGTAAGATGGACAGCAAGTCTTATGTGCAATTATCATTTCCTTCTTTTAAAAGCCGATCACATCACTCTGTTCAGGACTTCGTATTCCTAGCAATTTCAAAAGCTAGAACCCACCACCAGCTTCAGCCCTGCTCATTTTGCTTACTCTTTCCATACACCGTTATGATACCGTCATATTATTAATTAATTTATGCTTCTCATTGTAGGAGCGAATAAAGCGCATGCAAAGTGTGTTCAACAGGGAGAGAAACAAATACAAAAGGAGCTATGAGAGTTGGAAGGAAAATGGTCCTGGTGCTTATCATCAGCACTTCCAGCGAGATGATTGGTATTGGAAGGCAGATGCATCATACAGAGATCAGCGAACCAATCACAGGCAACCTCAAAGAGATAGTGCAGGCTATCCATTATCACATCACTACTCAGTTTTAGGTCTTGACAGGTAATACTGCTGTAACACAGGGTTAATAAATGCTCTTCCATCCTATTCTTGCCAGTATAGCCAAGAGCTTAACTTAGTATTCCGCAATGATAATTGACATTTTTTACTTCTTTTTCTCCACAGGTCCAGAACGGAACCATATACAGAAGATGAGATTAAGGTATACTGAATTTTCTTTAAAATGCTTTTACATTGCTGCTGTTGTTTGGAGGGATGGCTTGTTTTTCATTTTGTTAAAGTGATTCTTCATTTTGATATAATACTTATGTTTGTGATTATGCTATTGGCTATCTATCATGACATTGCTGGTACATCCTGATCAAAAGTTGACTTTCTATGAATTTATTCCCATATTAGATAACTGATTAGTGAAACCAAACCTATGCTTGTCTTAGACAGTTCATTCCTCAATCTTCTCAAGGTAGACAGGTTACAAATTTTTGTTAATGTTCATCAAATCACCATCTTGCTTTATTAACAATATTTTCACAGACTAGGAGGTCTTAAAATCTAAGTTTGTGGATGCTTGTTTTTAAGCATAATAATCACAAACTTGTTCATGTAATACTCTGGGATACGTGCTCGCACTAACCAAGTCATCTGCTTCTTTTCTGTATTACAGTGTGACTAACCACATTCTGTTAACAGCCATGTCATTTTCCAACAGATGAAACACTCCTGCAAAACCCATGTTGGAAATACTATTCATTTAAGAGTTAGTTTATCGCAATGTGTGCTGGCCTACGTAGTTATTTCTTTCTTGATGTATAGTTGATTAACGTTTAATGCTTACTTGTTTTATATGGTTCATGGACGCAATCAATCAAAGACATTAATTAGAAAAACTAGGATCACTATGGTTTCTTCTTGTTACTGGATTACATATCCTGCCTGTGATGATAAATGGATTATGTTGTCTGTCTGCAGACGGCATTCAGGACGAAGGCAAAACAATTCCATCCGGATCAGAACCAGGATAATAAAGGTCAGACGTATTTGACAGTTAATACTAAAATCTTCTAATCCTAACAGCATTGCTTTGGATTCTTTATTCAAACTTTGTTCCCTGTGCTTTATTTCAGAAGTTGCAGAGGCAAAATTTAAGGATTTAATGACCTCCTACGAGGCCATAAAGCAAGAAAGGAAGAACATGAAGGCATAAAAATCTGATCAATCCTGCATAAAGTTGGGGAAGTGAAGAGCAATAATAGGGATGTAGAATATTGAAAGCCCTATACTTCTACCTCTATGGTTTAGAGAGTGGACATAGATCAAAACTTTCTTTCTGGAATCAACTGAGTTTATAGTGACGTTGTATATCTAGGCTTTTAGTGGGAGATGAATAATGAATTTTTTTTTCTATGCATGCATAATGCAAGGGGGTGGTAATGTATTTTTTAGGCATGATACCATGCTTTGACAGTCCTCATTCCAATTTCTTGAATGATGTAGAGAAAAATAATGATTTGGCTCGTTACTCATCTCTTAGCTTATACGACTTAATAATAATAATAATAATAGCCTATATGACTTAAACTTTAAACAAAAAACTGCTTCACACTAGCAGAAAAATTCCACAGGATATGCACCAAAGCTTCTTTTAGCATAGTATCCTGTCGATTATAAGTTTCTTTTAGCATCTTCTCTGTGCTAGTTAGAATTAAGATAACAGATTGATCTCTCTGAACTCAAGAGTCAGAGCGGTACTTTGATGATTGAGATTCATACTTCAATTCATCCACAATCACAACAATAACAAAAGTAATAGTGAAAACAAATATGGTGAAAGTCATCCACCCCAAATAATTGGTCAATGAGACGAGATTGGAGTTTTTGTGCGATAATAAATTTTTCTTTTAGGTTGTGCATTTCATCTTTTTTTCATTCACTTTCCTTTCCAGGCAGTATGCTTGGTTTTACAATGGCCAATTGATTACATATAATTATCAATAACTGCAGCTAAGCACCACTCTTTCTCAGAAAGCCTCAAAACAAATTGTTCCAGAGTTACAGAAATAAAACATCAAAGAACTGGACTGCATAACAACACAAAGAAACTACTGAAACACTCAATGCCACTCACACCCAAGCAATGAACAAATCATGTCTCCTTACACCAGCTTAACCAACCCATCAGCCAAACAATTCTTTCCCTTAGAATATACTGGAATTTGAAAGGCTTTAAACTATTGACTAGATAGTTTGTGTTCAAAGTTCCCAAGTCTGCCAACTTACTATGAAAATTCTACCTGACAACATTAATTTACAGGCCTATCCAACAAAAAAGGATACAGACGGTGTCCATGTTCCTAACGATGATCAAGGCTTAACAATTTATATTAAGAAACAGTAATTAAGGAACATACTTACAGCCACTTACCGCCCTTCCATATTTGGAAACCTCTGACCTGGAAAACTGAAAACCTATATTTATAACAATCAGAAAAGTCCTTGACATGTCAAAAGGCTCAAATTATTTCTTTGTAATCACATTGAGCATATTAGCTACAGAAACACTGCTATAAAAGCTTAATGCATTTTTTTACAACACAGACAGGTTTATTAAAAGATGAAGACGAAGAAGAAGATGGCCATGATGACATAAATATAGCATATAAGGAGTTAAGGTTGGCAGTAGATCTAAACAAAGAATCAATCAGAAGTCCACCAATAGAAAAAAATGGCTAAATTTGGCAAAATAAAAAAGTGGTTTAAACCATCAGCAAGCAAACATAGATTATGACTTGTAAGTTCGGGAATCAAAATAAACTTAAGTTGCTTTTACCTGTAAATAGTACAACTCCATCAGCAGATACTCTTACAAAATCAGGAATTGTCTTGTTGAGATATCTTGGAGACAACTAATCTAATGCATCTCAAACAATTACAAGAGGGAACGACTTCGGCCGGTATGGAAGAGGAAATTTGATAGTCCTTTGCAGTTAGTATCAGCATCCTCAATGTCATACGGCTCCACACCCCAAGCTTCAGTTTCGTCCTCTTTTAACAAATTCAAAACCACTGAACAAGTATCACGACCAACATGCAAAACTTTATGCATACTATCACCATATGATTTCTTTAAAACGGGAATCGCTCGTTGAACCTCAAATGTGCAGGAAAAGTCACCTGCACATGAACATCAAATCCCATTTTAAAACTAAAGGTCACTTCTTACGTAACAGTATATCAACAGGCATAAGGATACAAACCCATCTTTATAAAGCATCAACAAACACATTCAAGACGCGCACTTTCTTTATATGCAAATTCAAGCAAAAAAATATATATATTTTACCTTCAACTCGGGTAACAGGTTCCTTTATGCCTCCGGATCGACCTATTGCAGGAAAAATTATTCTAATCTGATATGATCAACTTGGAAATATAAAAGTTCATGATGGATCATTTATTACAAGTTAAGTAGTTAATCAATGTTTAATTAACGAGCTTAATCAGAAAAGCAAACCTGAGCCGCTATGATAATACGCTACAATAAGAAATACGCCCTGACAAATTAAAAAAATAAAAATAAAAATTCAAATAAAAGGACAAAATTTGTAGAAACATGAACAAATAAACAAAAAAAGAGTACCAGGACAATGAGAAGAATGGAGAGAAAAGGAGGAGAGCGAGATTTGAAATGCGAAAAGAGAGCAGCTCCGCCGCCGGCGTCTCCATATCGTCTGGAGGAATTCAGTGGCCTCCTTGACATGCCTACAAATTTTTATTACCCAGAGACAGAGATTGAATGACATGCATTATTGTGCGAGACGAGGCAGAATCGGACTCGGTTTTATTTTTAAATTAATTTTAATAAAAGAAAAAACGAGAAAAGCTTTGGGGGTAAAAGGCGCGTTCATGTCGGCTGTGACATCCAACGGTTATAAAAATGAAGCCTTTATAGTCTCTTTGGCCCAATATCGGCCTGATTTTAAGCCCTTAATTTAAAAGGCCTCGTCTACGAATAATCAGTCGAGTTTTAGAACTCTATTGTTTATTTATTTGTTAGTGCAAATTCAGGTTTTAAGAGGATCAAATTCAAAGGCGGTGAAAAGAAATAGATTGAAGTCGATGATGAAACACTACCTGTGCTATTAGGGTTTGGATTGAAATTGAATTGAAGCAAACGGATTGTTGAAATTTCGATATTCGGAAATTGGGGAATCAAAAGCAATGGGAGGCGAAGATGTTGACAGGGATAAGAGTAAGCAATGGTTGTCTCCAAATAGGGCTTATAAAGAGAAAGAGGACGACCCCAAACTTTGGGGAATTTTCCTCTTTGGCTTAATTTGCGCCACTGCGACCACTTTCGCTGTAAGTTCTCCTATTTCGTTTTTTAAAGTTTCAACCTTTTCCATATTTTAATTGATCGTTTAAATTTTTAATAAGCTGCACTGTTAGGGTTTTTTTTTTTTTTTTTTTTACTTTGATTTCTTGGCCTTAAATAAAACTTAAGAATAAAGTTTTTTTTTTTTTTTTGAGGAATGGAAACTAATGGTGTTAGATGTTCTTTCAAGAATAAGTTAGTCTTGGTGGGAGCAGCTATTTGTTAGAATTTCCCTTTTGATTGTAGTTGCAATATGGCAGGTTAGTCAGCTAAGGAGGTCTATTGATTGGATATATACTCAGGGATACAGAAAAGAAGTTCTTTCCTAATTCAGCTAACCGTAATTCCATGTATAGTTGAATTATGAACTAGTTGAGGGAAAATCTTTCCTTATAATGGTACTTCATCGTAAGTATCTTCATTGTTTTCTTAAAAGGGAATGGTGGGAGGAAATGCACTTTTTTTTTCTTAGAAATTTTCAGTTGTTTTCTATGAGGGTGCTGATTGAATTGCTTTCGTAACTAAAATTTAGACTCGTGGCTGGTGGTTTTGCTGAAAATATACTGTTAATAGGATGATATGAATTTTTCTAAAGCAAAGATGAAATGGGTTTAAAGAGGAAGATTCACTTCTTTGGTGTTTTTGAAATCAAAATTATTACCTGGATACTGAGAGTGCTGTCATTATGTGCTAAAAGTTATGAAGGCATGAAAACATTTTATCAAGCATGAGTACCATTGTTTTCTTGTGCTGATATTTTTAGATTTTAAGAATATGGTTAAGATGTATTATGTTTGACTGCTGCCTTGTTGAATATTTGTATCAATCTATTATGTTTTCTGATATCTTATAGATTAACTTAGATATCACAATCAAGTATTACACACAACTAAATTTGTCCATTTATGCCTCAAACAGTTGAATATGCCATTTCTTATTTCTCTTTTATGTATTCGTCAATCTGATCTTGTGTGTACTTGCACCATGAAAGTTAGCCAGGTCACAATCATCATGGAAAGGAGGTTCTTTTCGAACATCCTTTCAGGAGGAAGCATGGAGAAGGTATAATCGTAGAATGCAAGAAGAGTATGAGGAAGAAATGGAGAGAGTGGTAAGTTTTTGGTTATGTTATATTATTCTCTTTATTTTACTATCATATTCCTTCATACAGGTCTTGCAACATAGTTTCCAAAGTGTTAAATTAGGTTGTTTTAAATTGTGAATTGTTATAGGCAGTTGTATATGATCTTTGAAGGATTAATAAGTCATAATGTGTAGTATTTAATGATGGTGAAAACTTGTGTCTTGGGTATTTTTGAATCTCTAGGAGATGTAACCCAGCCTCATGTAGCTATTTTGTGCCATCATTCCCATGGAAGTTACCTGTAATGATATTTTTCAGAAATTTTTTTGTGATTTGGTACATGGTACAGAAAGAATGTGAGTCAGATGAACGGCAAGTCTTATGTGCAATTATCATTTTCTTCTTTTAAAAGCTGATCACATCACTTTGTTCAGGACTTCGTATTCCTAGCAATTTCAAAAGTTGGGGCTGGGGGCCAGCTACCACCCACCACGAGCTTCAGCCCTGCTCATTTTGATTACTCTCTCCGTACACCATTATGATACCATCATATTATTAATTAGTTTCTGCTTCTCATTGTAGGAGCGAATAAGGCGCATGCAAAGTGTGTTCAACAGGGAGAGAAACAAATACAAAAGGAGCTATGAGAGTTGGAAGGAAAATGGTACTGGTGCTTATCATCAGCATTTCCAGCGAGATGATTGGTATTGGAATGCAGACACATCATACAGAGATCAAAGAACCAATTACAGGCAATCTCAAAGAGATAGTGCAAGCTATCCATTATCACATCACTACTCAGTTTTAGGTCTTGACAGGTAACACTGCTGTAACACTGGGTTTATAAATGCTCTTCCATCCTATTCTTGCCAGTATAGCCAAGAGCTCAACTTAGTATTCAGCAATGATAATTGACATTTTTTACTTCGTTTTCTCCTCAGGTCCAGAACAGAACCATATACAGAAGATGAGATTAAGGTATACTGAATTTTCTTTAAAATTCTTTTACACTGCTGCTGTTGTTTTGAGGAATAGCTCGTTTTTCATTTGTTAAAGTGATACTTCATTTTGATATAAGATTTATGTTGGTGATTATGCTATTGGCTATATATCATGACATTTCTGGTACATCCTGATCAAAAGTTGACTTGCTATGACTTTATTCCTATATTAGGTTAACTGATTAGTGAAACCAAACCTATGCTTGTCTTAGACCGTTCATTCCTCAATCTTCTCAAGGTAGACAGATTACAAATTTTTGTTAATGTTCATCAAATCACCATCTTGCTTTATTAACAATATTTTCGCAGACTAGGAGGTCTGAAAGTCTAAGTTTGTGGATGCTTGTGTGTAAGCATAATAATCACAAACTTGTTCATGTAGTACTCTGGGATACGTGCTTGCATTAACTAAGTCATCTGCTTCTTTGCTATATTACAGTGTGACTAACTACATTCTGTTAACAGCCATGTCATTTTCCAACAAATGAAACACTCCTGCAAAACCCATGTTGGAAATACTATTCATTTAAGAGTTAGTTTATTGCAATGTGTGCTGGCCTACGACGTTATTTCTTTCTTGATGTATAGTTGATTAACGTTTAATGCTTACTTGTTTTATATGGTTCATGGACGCAATCAATCAAAGACATTAATTAGAAAAACTAGGATCACTATTGTTTCTTCTTGTTACTGGATTACATGTCGTGCCTGTGATGATAAATGGATTATGTTGTCTGTCTGCAGACGGCATTCAGGACGAAGGCAAAACAATTCCATCCGGATCAGAACCAGGATAATAAAGGTCAGACGTATTTGACAGTTAATACTAAAATCTTCTAATCCTAACAGCATTGCTTTGGATTGTTTATTCAAACGTTGTTCCCTGTGCTTTATTTCAGAAGTTGCAGAGGCTAAATTTAAGGAGGTAATGACCTCCTACGAGGCCATAAAGCAAGAAAGGAAGAACATGAAGGCATAAAAACCTGATCAATCCTACATAAAGTTGGGGAAGTGAAGAGCAATAATAGGGATGTAGAATATAGAAAGCCCTACACTTCTCCATGGTTAGAGAGTGGAAATAGATCAAAATTTTCTTTCTGGAATCAACTGAATTTATACTGACGTTGTATATCTAGGCTTTTAGTGGGAGATGAATAATGAAAATTTTTTTTTTCTGTGCATGCATAATGCAAGGGGGTGGTAATGTATTTTTTAGGCATGATACCATGCTTTGACAGCCCTCATTCCAATTTCTTGAATGATGTAGAGAAAAATAATGATTTTGCTCGCTTCTAATCTCTTGGTTTATTACAATTGGCCATGCTTTTACAATCTTAATTCTATGAACCAAGACAATTTTTTTTTCTTTTTCCTCGAACCAATATTCTTCAAATAACATATGGTTGAGGTAATGAAAACTCCAATTAGAGATTTCCATTTTAAATATAAGTTTGACGATAGACGAGAAAAAACCCTCAAGGCTTCAATGTTCGATTCAAGATTTTGTTTTCGTCTACAAGTATTTATTCCACCATTTTGGAAAAGGTTATATACTTCCATCTCAGTTTTTTTTTTTTTTTTTTTTTGAGAAATAAGGGATGGCGGGAAGGGAGTAAAATCTTATGGACAGATTAAAGACTGAGGTCCTTAGTATTTGCCTTCCCCCACAACATTGAAAAGGGGGAAGATAAAGGAGATTACAAACTAGTTTGTCGAGAAGAAAGCTAAATTCTTTCCATATTTCGGTTCTTCGAATCTGGATCTACTTAAAAGGAGGAGCTCTGTAATATGCAGGAACTGTCGCCGGGCAAAACATTTGCCTAACTCCTTCTGCCTTCGTAATGGGGAAGATGATTCCTGATGCTCCCTGGAAAAAGCAGAACACAATGTTTTATTAGTAAATAAAATATTAATAGAGACTGATGAGAAATATAATAAGTTAATATTATATAGCCAAATAACAGAAGTAAAGAAAATGGCAGGGATCGGATCCACACCGAGACCAATCTAGCTCCAATCCAGATTCGGTTAGGCGAAGGGAACGGCAATAGCAAACGACCTGCACCATATATTGCAACAGCGAAGAAATGAAGAACCAAGCTCAAGGGGCTGCGGTTCAAGGAAAGCAAGAGATTGGTACTGTTTGAGAATACCCACGAGGCTTAGATAATCGAAAAGCTTGACGCATTTCTCTTCCTTGCTTTGATCAGGTGAAGCACGAAAACTTTTAAAGTAATTCAAGTATTGATTAATCTACTTGTATATGTATTAGAATGAGTTCATGCAGTAATATGAAGTAAAGAAACAAGAAATTAGTTTGTGATTAGAGAATTCAGTACTACGTCAATATAGGTAGCAAAGGAAATGAGCTATAATATATTTACCTTACGCAGGTGTAGAATGATTCGAGATATTTGCAGAGGGTAAGTGCATCATTGAGTTCACGCAGAGGCCTAAGTAGATCTCGGAGGACAACAATATCAGATAAAAATTTTAAAAACATAAAACATAAAACACATAACAATACCAAACCACTCCTAATTTAATGCAAACATGCTCCACCCTGAATTATCATATTGATGAAATTATGTTACAATTGTTGATCATTTTTTCTTGACCTCCCATTGTAACAAATAACTAATACTTATGAAACAAAATTATCGAGTCATGTGAACATCATAGATGCCAATGGTAAAGACTGATAGGCCTGCCAAAAATCACAAGCCCCTGGACACCGTTCCAATAACTGGTCTAAGGTGGAAATTTGAGTTGGAACGATGAACAAGTAGTCATTAATGAATTGCCATATTCTGCCATTATGAGTGTATGGTTTAAACCAATCATCCCTTTTATGATCATCAGAGATACTTTTTGGAACAATTTTCTTTCGAGACAACCGGAACCTAATTATTGCAACTTGAAATTGGTTTAAACCAATCATCCCCTTTATGATCATCAGAAATACTTTTTTATCATGTTCATTAATTAAGTTTATCAAATAATCGTAGATAATATTTTAAAATTTGTTAATTAAATAAATAAACTATGAACATAAAATTTATTCACATTCGATTCATTCATGCTTCGAACATCAGCGCTGGAACATGGGTCGGCCTCATTTTATGTCCACTGGAGACATCAAGCTCTTACTCTATCCTTGACTAGGACCAATAGTGGACCACCCTGGCAGACCTTTCTATCATACAGTTTCCAGGTAACTTTACACGAGGCTCATAATTAGAACTACGCAGTATGCAGAAAACAACCAAAACAAGTAAGGTAATGGCTAGGGTTAAAACATTCTTTGCTTCTCCAGACATGAAAGAACAGAGTACAAAGCTGGAAGCCCACTTAACTGGGCTAGATGTTGAAGTAAGTAAAGCAAAGTTAGAAACATATTAGGAGCAGCTGTCTTTTCTTGTTGGTAGGGGAAACAATTGACACTAGTAAATACTCTAGAGGTGCAACTTGGGTCGGCAAATCCGAGAACCAACCCAACCCAAGTAGTATGGGCCACCTTGGGTCGGGTAAGAGATCAACACAGGTTGGCGAGGACCTGGAGTTACAATTATGAAATATCAATTGAACAAAAAGGATAGTTAGGCATTTCAGCTTGTTTGTTGCAGTAAGGCCAGATAAATGTTTTAATTCTCAATTAAAGAATACATAATATATTGGATGGAATTCAAAAGTAGGCAAATGAAAGCAAAATAAATATTTTATACCAAAATTTAAACTATGCTACTGAACATTTAATCAGCTGCACTATGGAACTGGCTAATGGTGAAGAAATTACTATGCAAGCAAATCAATTGTATGACCTTAGGTGAAAAATCTGGCAACTGGGCTAATATGAGTTCTTTTCCGCAGCCTGACTGAACTTCTTGGAGGCAAATTCATTTTCTTCTAAGCTAGTCTGGACAAAATATTGTGCCCACCAAGACGAGCTCCTCAATTTAGCCTTCAGAAATCAAGAAATCACTTCGGCATGTCACATTTATTACTATTAGATGATATGGAAAAGACAATCCAATTGATACCAAAATCTAAGAAACTAAGACTAGTTAAACATCTCAACCTTTTATTACTTATTACATAGAATATGTATATTACAAGTTTAAATGTTTCATAAAAAAGATATTAAGATAACTCAAATTGCAGAAATCAAGCATCATTTAATCCTACTTTCACTCTTAACAAATATAGATACATGGAAACTTTAATTGGTAACCTATTACGCTATTCAGTAATACAATCGTCAAGGTTGAGAAACAAACATGCCAGCATGCATTCCAGGTCAAACTACATGGAAATCCAGGAACCCATCTCCACAATTCTACATATTGACCATGCAACAGATAAATGAAAATGCATAGTCCATACGGTAATGAAGGAAAGGAAAAGAGATGCTCATTAGATGTAGTGTCCCACCTCTCAATAATAATAGCCTATATGACTTGAACTTTAAACAAAAAACTGCTTCAAACTGGCAGAAAAATTCTACTAGATATGCACCAAAGCTTCTTTTAGCATAGTATCCTGTTGATCATAAGTTTCTTTTAGCATCTTCTCTGTGCTAGTTAGAATTAAGAGAACAGATTGATCTCTCTGAGCTCAAGTGCCAGAGCAGTATTTTGTTGATTGAGATTCATACTTGAATTCTCTATCCACATTCACAACATTAACAAAAGTAATAGTAAAAACAAATATGGTGAAAGTCATCCACCCCAAATAATTGGTCAATGAGACAAGATTGGAGTTTTTGTGCAATAATAAATTTTTGTTTTAGGTTGTACATTACATCTTTTTTTTCATTCACTTTCCTATCCAGGCAGTATGCTTGGTGTTACAATGGCCAATTGATTACATATAATTTGAGCAATAACTGCAGCTAAGCACCATTCTTTCTCAGAAAGCCTCAAAACAAATAGTTCCAAAGTCACAGAAATAAAATATCGAAGAACTGGACTGCATAACAACACAAAGAAACTGAAACACTCAATGCCACTCACACCCAAGCAATGAACAAATCATGTCTCTCTACACCAGCTTAACCAACCCATCAGCCAAACAATTCTTTCCCTTAGAATATACTGGAATTTGAAAGGCTTTAAACTATTGACTAGATAGTTTATGCGTTCAAAGTTCCCAAGTCTACCAACTTATTATGAAAGTTCTACTTGACAACATTCATTTAAAGGCCTATCCAACAAAAAAGGATACAGATGGTGTCCATGTTCCTAATGATGATCAAGACTTAACAATTTATATTAAGAGACAGTAATTAAGGAACATAGTAACAGCCACTTACCGCCCTTCCATATTTGGACACTCCTGCAGCTTTAGCTTTCCGCTGACCTGGAAAACTGAAAACCTATATTTATAACAACCAGAAAAGTCCTTGACATGTCAAAAAGGCTCATATTATTTCTTTGTAATCACATAGAGCATATTAGCTACAGAAACACTGCAATAAAAGCTTAATGCATTTTTTTACAACACAGACAGGTCTATTAAAAGATGAACACAAAGAAGAAGATGGCCATGATGACATAAATCTAGCATATAAGGAGTTAAGGTTGGCAGTAGATCTAAACAAAGAATCAATCAGAAGTCCACCAATAGAAAAAAAAAATGGCTAAATTTGGCAAAATAAAAAAGTAAGTGGTTTAAACCATCGGCATGCAAACATAGATTATGACTTGTAAGTTCGGGAATCAAAATAAACTTAAGTTGCTTTTACCTGTAAATACTACAACTCCATCAGCAGATACCCTTGCAAAATCAGGAAGCGTCTTGTTGAGATATCTTGGAGACAACTAATCTAATGCATCTGAAACAATAACAAGAGGGAACGACTTCGGCCGGTATGGAAGAGGAAATTTGATGTCAGACACACGCACAACACCATTTCGCACTAGTCCTTTGCAGTTAGTATCAGCATCCTCAATGTCATACGGCTCCACACCGAAGCTTCAGTTTCGTCCTCTTTTAAGAAATTCGAAACCACCGAACAAGAATCACAACCAACATGAAAACTTTATGCATGCTATCAACATATGCTTTCTTTAAAACGGGAATCGCTCGTTGAACCGCAAATCTGCAGGAAAAGTCACCTGCACATGAACATCAAATCCCATTTTAAAACTAAAGGTCACTTCTTACATAACAGTATATCAACAGGCATTTATATGCAAATTTCTTCAAGACATTCAAGACGCGCACTTTCTTCATATGCAAATTTAAGCAAAAAAAAAAAAAAATTACCTTCAACTCGGGTAACGGGTTCCTTTATGCCTCCTGATCGACCTATTGCAGGAAAAATTATTATAATCTGATATGATCAACTTGGAAATATAAGAGTTCATGATGGATCATTTATTACAGGTTAAGTAATTAATCAACGTTTTAATTAACGAACTTAATCAGAAAAGCAAACCCGAGCCGCTATGATAATACGCTACAATAAGCAATGCGCCTTGACAAATTAAAAATAAAAAATAAAAATTCAAATAAAAGGACAAAATTTGTAGAAACATGAACAAATAAACAAAAAAAGAGTACCAAAACAATGAGAAGAATGGAGAGAAAAGGAGGAGAGCGAGATTTGGAATGCGAAAAGAGAGCAGCTCCGCCGCCGGCGTCTCCATATCGTCTAGAGGAATTCACTGGCCTCCTCGACATGCCTACATATTTTTATTACCCAGAGACAGAGATTGAATGATGTGCATTATTGTGCGAGAAGAGGCAGAATCGGACTCAGTTTTATTTTTAAATTAATTTTAATGAAAGAAAAAAAAAAAAAAAAAAAGAGAAAAACTTTGTGGGTAAAAGGCGCGTTCATGTCGGCTGTGACATCCAACGGTTATAAAAATGAAGCGTTTATAGTCTCTTTGGCCCAATATCGGCCTGATTTTAAGCTCTTAACTTAAAAGGCCTCGTCTACGAAGAATCAATCGAGTTTTAGAACTCTATTGTTTATTTATTTATTACTGCAAATTCAGGTTTTAACGGGATCAAATTCAAAGGCGGTGAAAAGAAATATATTGAAGTCGATGATGAAACCCTACCCGTGCTATTAGCGTTTGGATTGAAATTGAAATGAAGCAAACGGATTTTTGAAATTTCGATATTCGGAAATTGGGGAATCAAAAGCAATGGGAGGCGAAGATGTTGACAGGGATAAGAGTAAGCTATGGTTGTCTCCAAATAGGGCTTATAAAGAGAAAGAGGACGAACCCAAACTGTGGGGAATTTTCCTCTTTGGCTTAATTGCCGCCACTGCGAAGTGCGAACACTTGCGCTGTAAGTTCTCCTATTCCGTTTTTTAAAGTTTCAACCTTTTCCATTTTTTAATTGATCGTTTAAATTTTTAATAAGCTGCACTGATAGGGGTTTTTTTTTTTTTTTACTTTGATTTCTTGGCCTTAAATAAAACTTTAGAATAATTTTTTTTTTTTTTTTGAGGAATGGAAACTAATGGTGTTAGATTTTCTTTCAAGAATAAGTTAGTCTTGGTGGGAGCAGCTATTTGTTAGAATTTCCCTTTTGGTTGTAGTTGCAATATGGCAGGTTAGTCAGCTAAGGAGGTCTATTGATTGGATATATACTCAGGTATACAGAAAAGACGTTCTTTCCTAATTCAGCTAACCGTAATTCCATGTATAGTTGAATTATGAACTAGTTGAGGGAAAATCTCTCCTTATAATACTTCATCGTTAGTATCTTCATCGTTTTCTTAAAAGGGAATGGTGGAAGGAAATATACTTTTTTTTTCTTAGAAATTTTCTATCAGGTTGCTGATTGAATTGCTTTCGAAACTGCAATTTAGACTCGTGGCTGGTGGTTTTGCTGAAAACATACTGTTAATAGGAAGCAAAGATGAAATGGGTTTAAAGAGGAAGATTCACTTCTATGGTGTATTCGAAATCAAATTATTGCCTGGATACTGAGAGTGCTGTCATAATGTGCTAAAAGTGATGAAGGTCCTGAAAACATTTTATCAAGCGTGAGTACCTTTGTTTTTCTGTGCTGATATTTTTAGATTTTAAGAATATGGTTGAGATGTATTATGTTTGGCCTCTGCCTTGTTGAATGTTTGTATCAATCTATTATGTTTTCTAATATCTTATAGATTAACTTAGATATCACAATCAAGTATTACGCACAACGAGATTTGTCCATTTATGCCTCAAACAGTTGAATATACCATTTCTTATTTCTCTTTTATGTATTCGTCAATCTGATCTTTTGTGTACTTGCACCATGAAAGTTAGCCAGGTCGCAATCATCATGGAAAGGTGGTTCTTTAAGAACCCTTCGGGAGGAAGCATGGAGAAGGTATAATCGTAGAATGCAAGAAGAGTATGAGGAAGAAATGAAGAGAGTGATAAGTTTATTATACGAGGAAGAAATGGAGAGTGGTAAGTTTTTGGTTTATGTTAAATTGTTCTCTTTATTTTACTGTCATATTACTTTGTACAGGTCTTGCAACATGGTTTCCAAAGTGTTAAATTAGGTTGTTTTAAATAGTGAATTGTTATAGGCAGTTATATATGATCTTTGAGGGATTAATAAGTCATAATGTGTAGTATTTAATGGTGAAAACTTGTGTCTTGGGAATTTTTAAATCTCTAGGAGATGTAACCCAGCCTCATGTAGCTATTTTGTGCCATCATTCCCGTGGAAGTTATCTGTAACGATTTTTTTCGGAAATTTTTTTACATTGGTGCAGAAAGAATGTGAGTCAGATGGACGGCAAGTCTTATGTGCAATTATCATTTTCTTCTTTTAAAAGCTGAGCACATCACTCTGTTCAGGACTTCCTATTCCTAGCAATTTCAAAAGCCAGCACCCACCACCAGCTTCAGCCCTGCTCATTTTGCTTACTCTCTCCATACACCATTATGATACCATCATATTATTAATTAATTTCTGCTTCTCATTGTAGTAGCGAATAACGTGCAGGAAAAGTGTGTTCAACAGGGAGAGAAACAAATACAAAAGGAGCAATGAGAGTTGGAAGGAAAATGGTCCTGGTGCTTATCATCAGCACTTCCAGCGAGATGATTGGTATTGGAAGGCAAACGCATCATACAGAGACCAAAGAACCAATTACAGGCAATCTCCAAGAGATAGTGCAAGCTATCCATTATCACATCACTACTCAGTTTTAGGTCTTGACAGGTAATACTGCTGTAACACGGGGTTGATAAATGCTCTTCCATCCTATTGTTGCCAGTATAGCCAAGAGCTTAACTTAGTATTCGGCAATGAAAATTGACATTTTTTACTTCATTTTCTCCACTGGTTCAGAACAGAACCATATACAGAAGATGAGATTAAGGTATACTGAGTTGTCTTTAAAATACTTTTACACTGCTGCTGTTGTTTTGAGGGATAGCTGGTTTTTCATTTGTTGTCTGTCTGCAGACGGCATTCAGGACTAAGGCAAAACAATTCCATCCAAATCAGGACCAGGATAATAAAGGTCAGACGTATTTGACAGTTAATACTAAAATCTTCTAATCCTAACAGCATTGCTTTGGATTGTTTATTCAAACTTTGTTCCTGTGCTTTATTTCAGAAGTTGCGGAGGCAAAATTTAAAGAGGTAATGACCTCCTACGAGGCCAAAAAGCAAGAAAGGAAGAACATGAAGGCATAAAAACCTGATCAATCCAACATAAAGTTGGGGAAGTGAACAGCAATAATAGGGATGTAGAATATTGAAAGCCCTATACTTCTACCTCTATGGTTAGAGAGTGGACATAGATCAAAATTTCTTTCTGGAATCAACTGAGTTTATACTGACGTCGTATATCTAGGCTTTAAGCGGGAGATGAATAATGAATTTTTTTTTTCTATGCATGCATAATGCAAGGGGGTGGTAATGTATTTTTTAGGCATGATACCATGCTTTTAAAGCCTTCATTCCAATTTCTTGAATGATGTAGAGAAAAATGATGATTTTGCTCGTTACTCATCTCTTGGTTTATTGCAATTGGCCATGCCTTTACAGTCTTAATTCCGTGAACTAAGACAAATTTTTTTTCCTTTTTTTCGAACCAAAGGTCTTCAAATAACATATGGTAGAGGTAATAAAAACTCCAATTACAGATTTCCACTTTAAATATAAGTTTGATGATAGACGAGAAAAAACCCTCAAGGCTTCAATGTTCGATTCAAGATTTTGTTTTCGTCTAAAGTATTCATTCCACCATTTTGGAAAAGATTATATACTTTGATCTCAGATTTTTTTTTTTTTTTTTTTTGGAAATAAGAAATGGGGGGAAGGGAGTAAAAGCTTATGGACAGATTAAAGAATGAGGTCCTTAATTGAGCATTTGCCTTCCCCCACAACATTGAAAAGGGGGAAGATAAGTGAGATTACAAACTAGTTTGTCGTGAAGAAAGCTAAATTCTTTCCATATTTCGGTTCTTCGAATCTGGATCTACTTAAAAGGAGGAGCTCTGTAATATGCAGGAACTGTCGCGGGGAAAAACATTTGCCTAACTCCTTCTGCCTTGATAATGGGCAAGATGATTCCTGACGCTCCCTGGAAAAAGCAGAACACAATGTTTTATAAGTAAATAAAATATTAATAGAGACTGATGAGAAATATAATAAGTTAATATTATATAGCCAAATAACAGAAGTAAATAAAATGGCAGGGATCAGATCCACACCGAGATCAATCTAGCTCCAATCCAGATTCGGTTGGGCGAAGGGAACGGCAATAGTAAACGACCTACACCATATATTGCCACAGCGAAGAAATGAAGAACCAAGCTCAAAGGGCGAGGGTTCAAACCGGAGAGCAAAGAGATAGGTCCTGTTGAGAATACACCACCAAGGCTTAAATAATCGAAGCAAGCTTGACGCATTTCCTTTCTTGCTTGATCGGGTGAAGCACAGAACACCTTGTACAAGGCACCTGCCAAGGTATTGATGGTGGATGCCACAGGCTGCAAAATGTAACATTAGAATGAGTTCACTTCAGTAATGTGAAATTATACCATTGAAACAAAGAAAGTTTAGTTCGTGATTAGAGAATCTCAGTACATCAATATCGGTAACAAATGGAAATGAGCTTACTAATATGGTTTACCTTACGCAGGGTGTAGAATGATTCAAGATATTTGCAGAGGGTAGGTGCATCATTGAGGTCACGCAGAGGCCTTAGTAGATCACGGAGGACAACAATATCAGATAAAGCCACAGTCATTCCTCCACCAGTTAATGGATGGCGCATGTTGAATGCATCTCCCATCAATAGGGCTCCAGGTGTGGGATAAGGAGCAGCTGGCATGCTCCTGTTTGGCATTGTCCTAATATTTCCTTTATCAACAGCTGCTACAAACGAATCGTAGATTTCTGGGGGAACCTGTTATTATATATGCAGCACATAAGGAGTAAAGAACAACTTCTACAAAAAAATAAATGAAACCTTAAGGACTTCAAATGTGCAGAGCTAAGAGCAGTTAAATACCTGAGGAGCCACGACGGTCTTCAGATAGTTTGCCATCTCCCCATTTGCAATAGAAGGAACCTTCTGGCCGGGTACATCAACCAGACAGCGAACCTCTGTGCTGCTAATAGGATAGAACAAAATAGGGGAAGGATCTGCTAGTATAACATGGCCATGATTTGAGTAGGGAAGATGACAATTCTCCAGGACCAATCCCACAAAACAAGAGGGTACATCTACCTGCAGATTGTAAATTAAGCCTTTTAAATTTCTTAATTACCAGTTTACTTTAAACAACTGAAAAAGCGATTAAGAAGAAAAGAACATGGGGAATTTGCATTTTCTTGACCATCAAAACAAAGGGTTACTGGGTCAACTCACCTTAGGGTTGCAAAGGGATCGACGCAAGTTCGAAAAACAGCCATCACAAACAATAGTCAGAGGTGCAAATGCTGTCAATTCCCTGCCATCTTTAGTTTTGTACTGCACTCCTCTGATCGTTCCTTTTTCTTCAATTAGAGAAGTAACTGTCCCTTGCTCTAAGCATACACTGTTAAAAATGGGAAAAAAGGCTTAACGAACTTAACAATGAATTACTATTTGTTACCATAATGCTATATTAGGCAATTCAAATTTTAATAATATTGAAGCATCATTACAGCTTTCTGTTTTTAAACACTCAAAAAGTTTGAGCAATGAATATGAGGAACATAACAAATAACTACTGATTAATATCTAAAATGGGGAAAAGACATACTTGGGAAGAGAAGCTGACTTCTCCCGCATCCTCTGTATGAAACGTCCATTGTGAAAGCTCCTACCAGATACATCCGAGTGAAACTTTTCTAAGGGATAAGAAAGTCGAGCATGTTTCCCATCCTTGAAAAGAGCATAACCAAATACGTGCTGAGCATCAATTTCCTCCACACAATCTGTCGTCAGATTACGTGTGAAAGCGATCAAGGACAAGTAATAGACGACAAATTCATAATTGAACACGAAACTTTTAACATCGTGAACATCAACATGAAGTCATACAGTTCAATATTCACCTACCTTCAAGTCCCAACTCAATTAACTTGAGATAACCCCCAGGTTGTAGCAATTCCCCAACAATACGGTCCGGCTCTGTCAAGTCTCTTTCAATCACATGCACTCGACGTCCATCCTATACTTAATACCATATAATCAATTTACAGATGAAATAACTTTCAATAAGAATAATCACAATCTAAGATGATGCTTAATTTACACATAGGCATCCCATTGAAAACTATAAAAAGCAAGTTAAATCCCTGAACCAAAAAAATGGATACTAAATGAATATATATCAGTGAAAAATTTTAAAAAAGAAAGCAATTCTAAAGGACGTATTACACGTTTGTGATTAATACAATTCTATCGATTAAATTGGAAATCATATACAAAAAAAAAAAAAAAGAGGACATCAGGACAAGAAACCATCATATGGAGAATGTGCGCAGAGGTTAATTTGGCTTAACACCTAAATTTGCGAGTAAGGGCTAGTATTTGGTGGCTAAATCAGCATCCCAACGAAGAAACAGAGGGTAATAAGTACAGGGGAGTGGCGGCGGACAACTTGGAAAACCAACAGTAATATTTAGTATTTATTACAGCAACAAAAAATGTCTACCTTGTCCTAATCAATCTTCCATTACAGCTCCTACACAAGGTTATATTTAGAAGACAGTGACTAATTATTTAGAACTTGAGGTATGCAAATTGCTAATAGCAACAGGCGGTTTCGGTAAAAGCCTCCAATCATGATTGGTAAGGGGTAACCGCAAACTTGCTTTTTTTGAACCAAAAATAAAAGTCAGAGATGTGACGTAATAATTAAAATTTGAAAAATTGTAAATACTGATTTATAAATATAAAGTTCATAATTATTGTAAATACTGATTTTTATTAATAATGGGAATTTAAAAATTTGCAAAATAGTCGAAATGATAGACATAAAAAAGTAAAAACAATTGTAAAATTATGTAAAGCAAACGAATTAAAGAAGAAAATGGTGTACAGCGTTTTGAATAGCGGTAAGTCCGTGAAAGTGTAGTCGTGGCATCAAGGCAAAAGAAAAATGTTCCGCTTAAACTTCTTCAAAAATGAAAGCAGAAAAAAGGTGAAATTGAGAAATGTTTTAGTTCCTGATTGGTTACAGAGAAAATGCCAAGAAACTAGGGGAAACTGGAAAAGTGAAAAAGCACCTTGCCGAGAGTGTGAGCGAGGGCGGAGCCAGCAACGCCGGCTCCAACGATGATGACATCAGCGTCGCTTCCGTCAGCGGATCTGCATTCTCCGTTACTCGCTGGGACGCTCTTCACGGACTCTGTCCTCGTCGCCGGGATTCCGTTCCCTTTCCGTCTCTTCAAAACGACACCGCACAATGCAACCAGCGTCATCACGGAGCACAAGATCCATCCCCACACGTAAGAATCCGCCATTTTTTCCTCCTCCTGTTCACTTTGTTCACAGTTTTGATTTCTTCGATTGTTGTTTGTGTTTTGTTTGTTTGTTTGTTTGTTTTAGCCTATGGCTGGGACAGTTGTGCTTTGATTCGGAAAGGCTTTCGCTTGGCTTCGCTGGCTATGCCTTTTGTTTTTGAAATGTTTTACAGGGAATTTACAGAAGACAGGGTGGGCCTTTTATAGTCCATGCACCACAAGTTTACATCTTACAAGTCACCAGCCTAGCTCTGACGTGTCATCATTTGCTAACTTGCGCCTACTACGCGGTTGGACTTAACTTCGCATCCCTCATTCCAATTTCTATAATTTAATTTTCCCGGTTGTCTTTTTTTATTTATAATTAAGTATTGTTTTAACTTTTATTTATGGTTACTTATGGACTTTAATGTCTTGGTTTAACGTTAAGGTTTATTAATTAAATAATCAATCACGAATGTAATAAAATTCATTCACAATTTTGTCCATATTTAAGAGTATAAATAATTTATGAATATATTTTATTTTTATTTATTTATATTCGTTAATTAAATTAAAAAATAATTATGAATATTTTTTAAAAAATTTTATGTTTGATTCGTTTACACCTTATTAATAGAATTATATCATATTTTTAATTTAATTAAAAATGTCAAGAGCTAACCATAAAACAATATTTTCATGAAAAATAGAGTGAAGATCTAATAAGCAACTTTAGCCAATGATCCAAGCATTTTTATTACTAATATCTATTTGATTTACAACCTAATTTGACTTTAATCGAGCGAACTCAAAAGCTACTACTAATAAACATTTGAAAAGTAATTCCCTTAATCAATGTATTTGGTGAGTATGGTTACTAATGCTTACCTCCCTAACCAAAATTAATTATTACCAAAAATCATATGGATAAGAATATTGAATTGCAAACCAAATATGCAAATTACCCATGCCCTCGGATGAAGGGAACTTCTTAAGACAATCTACAAGTCTCTTTTACCCACAGATAACAAGAAAAAGAAGAAAAAAAAAACTCAGTTAGTCAATATATAGGATATAAATATATATTAATAGCTTATAAAAATATTTTTTTATTTATAAGTTTAAATTAGAGAAAATTATCTCATTTTAAGTCAAAATATGTTGTTGATTTTAACAAAGACTTGCATTAAACTTACACATAGTCTATCAGATAAAATTGTAATATCAATAATCGAACTTATATCTTATAAATAAAATATTCAATCCGTATCAATTCAACTAACCTACCTTTGAGATTTGGAGATATGAAAGTTTTCCATGTTAAATTGACAGGAGGTAGCCGGTAGATGCATGACAAGCGTGACCAACTAAAAACCAAGTAAGAGTATATTTTGTCAAATGTTTTAGCAAAAACAAAAATCAAGGGTCAATTCTAAACTGAATTTGTGTATTATTTTGGAATATTATATAACTACATATTGGTCAAAATATTAACCCTCAAAGAAAATAACAAGTAGGAAATTTTCCACAAATTCATCCCACTTGATTCAATTATGCAATATAGAATTGACAAATTTCTAATTAAAACATTTATGGATTCCTTCATATTGATGTTGAATTGGAAAACTATAACTCAAACAAAAGATTTTGGATTTTATTGGTTATTCAAACTCTGATGCTATGTGTTTATGATTATATATGCTTTGGTGGATAATTGTTTTATGAAATGTGAAATGAATGCCACAAAGGGTTGCTAAAGTTTGAAAATAATTTGTTTGAATTTGGAAAAAAAATAATAATAACTAAAGTCAATCGTATTAATGTAGGAATACATTGAAAAGATTATTTAAAAACATCAATCAAATAGTTTTATAGCAAATAAATTTGATTTTAGTAGTGGAATTTTCACGATGAAAAAATTTGAAGTGCCAACCTTTAGTCAATATTGACAGTCCTTTAAAATGACAAGATTTCAATTTGGTATCGTGGAATCATACCCTTTCTCACTTGAGATTAATTGTGGGTTTTTAGCTGTCCCAATTGACTTCCTCTTTCTTTCGTTTTCACAATAATATTTGGAAAGAGAATAAGAAAATGCATGGAAATTAAGAGAACATGAAAGTAAATGGAGAAATTTTGAATTAAACCCTTAATTCAATTGATTAATATAAATTTTTTTAAAAGATGATATGGTTAATAAATGATATTTAAATATTAATATTTATGATTGCAGTATTTTTTAAAAATTTAAAAAATTTTCATAGGATAAGAATTGATATATGGAATAGAGTTAAATGGCAAATTAAAAGATTACTTTTATTAATGTTAGGTTTAGATTTAAGGTACGGTATGATTGAGTACTACATCATCAGTTGAATTTAAATGTTAATTTTAGTTAGATTTATTCAATATAAATATTTTATTAATTTTTTTCAATCACAATAATAATAATTTTTTCAATCATAATTATAGTAATTTTTATTACTATTTTCAATATCATCACATATTCAAATGGAACATAAATATATTTTTTCATATTATATATATTTCCACTAATGGAATATTTAAATTATTATCATTTTTATGAAAAAAAAACATTTTTTTATAAGAGAAATTCCAGAATAGTAAAGTTGCTCAATTTCCTATATCAAGATAAGATGTGTTGTATCTGATAACTTAAGATAAATGATTACAAGTCATACATTCAAAATAACTTCAACAAGTGATCATCGATAAAATTTGAACATAAAATCTCTTAGTCGATGATGATGACTCTTAACAAATTTAGTCAATCATTTGTTGATTTAAAAAAACATATTTACTATTTTCTTTAGCATATCAAACATAAAAAAAGTTATCTCTCAAGTGATTCCACCATTTTTTCTCTTTCCTCTTATTTTCTTTCCTACCAAACTAACGTTAGCAATTAGGGGGCTTACCATTAAGAGTAACAAAGGATCGTGGACGTCAAAAGCTGGAAAATAATCTGGCTTGCCCACAAAAAATAAAATAATGACTTTGGGTTGGTTTGGTAATAACGGATTTATAAGGACGACCAAAACAACGTTGTTATTAGGAGAAAAATTCCACAGTCCACACGACTTTATGAACGTCGTCAAGCATGCATCCAAAAAAAAAAAAATGCCAGCAGTATATCGTTTAATATTTAATGTTTATTGTATTAAATTGAGTAAGAAACGAGGGAGTAGTGTTTAATTGTTTGTGTGAGATTAAGTCAAATGAAGAGTAGAGTACATAACGTACCAAGCCAAATTACATATCAAGTCAATAGAGGGATCGTTCCGGCGCACGCAAACGTATAAGATTGACTGAGGAAAGGGCTGAAATATTTTGTGATTCTATCACCAATGTTTTCAACTGTATATCCTTCTTATTCACATTATCCATGAATGAAGTTGCTTAGTGCTTACCTTTTTTTTTTTAATTTAAGAGTATGAGAGATTATTCATTTGTAAGGTTAGGATAAATAGTCAATTCACACAAAAATTTACGAAATTTTTTATGAAAATTTTTTAAAATTACAAATCACCTATTAATAAAAAATCGTAAAAATTTAAATCTGAATACTTTATATTTAGATTCTAAATTTTACTTATTTACGTCAACCTTAAAGTCTAAGCTTTTTTTTTTTTTCTTATCATCTATGAACTTGCATGCCCCACTGATTTTTTTTAGGAGATTTTTTTTTTCTATGCTACCCCTCATGAATTTTAGTGTTTAATTAATTATGTTTTCACCCACATTAGTTAGTTCAATTTATTAAAAAATACTCTTTTTTCTATCATAATTTCATTTTTGTGAGAAGAATTTAGATGATAAAATCAACACACCAAATTGATATGATAGAGTGTGGGTTTTTTAATTGTTTAAAAAATAGACCTAGACAAAATTAAATATATATTATTTTATTTGTAAAGTTTAAAAATTTTATGTTATGTATAAAAATTCAATATTAAATAGTTTTTGTTTTAAGATATATAGGTTGTTATCAATTCAAACAAGTTGTTATGTATCTAAATTCATAAATTTCATGCATTTTATATTAATTCCGATGAATTGCTTTCTTAATTTAATCAATTTATTCATACATTCGTCTTTGAAAATAATAGTTAGTAAGTTTTAGATTCAAATAATAACACTTATAATCTTTTATTTTATTTTTATACTATCTTATGTGTAAACAAATAAGGTAAACTTCACACACATCATTTGTAATTTTCGATTTTCTATTTATACCTTTGTGAAAAAAAAAATTTTATTTAAAATTTTGTGATTCACTTTTATTACTAAAAGAGATAACGGCGTTAAAAATAAGAATTAAGATAATTTAGTAATTTCACTAAAATCTCTATAAGTGAGAAAAGAAATTTACAGGGATCTAAGTGATAAAATTATAAACCAGGTGTTTTCTTAAAAGAATATTATGGAGATAAATAAACTTATTAATTAAGATAAATTTTTATATGTTTTTCAAATAATAATTGCTTTAAAAGCATGAGCCGAGCCCACCTTTAGGCCCAAATGGCCCAGTTTAATGATTTTTAATAAAAAAAATTTAAATAAAAAATCCCAACAGCGGGAACAAAATGGAAAACGGCCCTAAAACCTCAAAAACGATTATCTTTTTTGTTTTTTTTTTTGGGTTTCTGGCCAAATCAAGAAATTCAAATGGAACTTCATTTTGAGTGCACGGATTTGAGTATTTGGAAAGAAGCTATCTGCTCTTACAAATCTCGAATCGAATCTCTAAACAAACCAAACCTAATTTCTCTCGACGAATTTTACCGCGACGGACTTCCCTCCCTTCTCCACCAGCGAATCCCTAACCCTTTCATCACCACCTCCGAACTCTCCCGCCTCATGCAATGGAAGCTCACTCGCGGCAAATGGAGGCCGCGTTTGTTAGATTTCGTTTCTTCTTTGGACGACTCTTCAGTAAAATCCGCTTCTCAAAAGGCTTTCCAGTCGCTTCCCGACATCTTCAAAGCCGTCTCCGAGCTTACGGTTTTGAAAGGAGTCGGCCCTGCGACTGCCTCCGCTGTTCTTGCTGCTTACGCTCCTGAAACGGCGCCGTTTATGTCCGACGAGGTAAATACTAAATTCTTCTGGAATCTTTTTCCCCCGATCTCTTTGCTTTATTGTTTACTTATGATTTATTTTATTTTATTTTTATTTGTATGCTAGGCTATGGAGGCTGCGCTTGGGAACTCGAAAGATTATTCGTTAAAGCAATACTTGTTGTTTGTGAATAAAATGCAGAGCAAATCTAAGGTTGGTGAGATTCCTTTTTATTTTATTAGAGTATATTATTATTATTTTTTATTGCATGGTCCTTACATGAATTTAATTTTGATGATTATGTCTGTTAATAACTATTAAAATTTGTGTAACTAGAATATGCTAGTAGTTTTCCAGATAGTACAATGGAAGTTTAATAAGCAATATTTGAAACTAATGAATTATTGTTGATAGAATCGATTTGGCATAAAATTATACGTCTTTTCATGTTAAGATGTTGATCGCTGCTCGAATCATAAACCTGTTTTAGTTCCATGAAATTATTGCAGGTAGAGTGATGACTTAATTATCTGATCCTGGTGGTGATATTGGGAATTAAATTTGTACATTTGATGTGAAATTTATTTCTATTTTTAGTATTTGCTTGTTTTCTTGATTGAGAGCTGCCTTAGATGGTCCCTGAGAAATGCTGTTTTCATGCTAAGTATTACTTGATGGGAAGAAAAACTGGATGATTATTTCTATTTTTTCTTTTCATGGTCCCCAAAAAATGCATTGGGAGCTTGTCTCTGCTCTTATTGGTGCTGTTTAGGTCTAGTAAAGAATTTAGACAGATGACTCACCATCTGATTATGTTTTGTATATTAATGTGTACTATTTTTCTTTCGTAAAATTTCTTTCATTTTCATGATATGAAGTTCATTTCTATTTTATATAGCTTATTTTGATTGAGCACTTCTTGCATGGTCCCCTAAAGATGGTGTTTTCACAGGGGAAATTACTTGACAAGAACTAAAAGTCTAAAAAGCTTGGTTTTGGGACCACAAAGTTTTTTTCTTTCTTTCCTACATTGATGGCTGATCTAGGGTTTTTTTTTACATTTTTCAGAAGCTTCATTATCTCCTTGTTAAATTTGTAGTTTTCTGTTACTAATGGTGGGATGTTTGTTTCTTTTGAATGTTTAGTGTAGTTGGTAGTTGATGTCCTTCCTAGTTCCTTCACTTGTGATTCTTGGCTAATTATGTTTTTGACTGGGCAACAAAATCATGTCTCAATGATTAAGGCAACTCTGATATTCTGTAGTTGGCAATATTCATCGAAACCTTTGCCCCAATGGATGTCTATTGAAGTACCTTTTAAGTTTCTTATTCTGTCTCCAAAATAGAAGACATGTGACTTTTCGCCTACTCTGCTTAGCAACAAAAATTAATATCATACTAGTAATAAATTTGATATATGAAAGATCCTTCGGATGTTCTGACAAGTGACAACCAGGATAATATCTTCTCATAGTGTAATGTCTGTTGTCATGGAGAAGAGGCATTAGATTATGTGAAGACAGTTTTTCTCATGTGAATGATAGTTATCAGATTTTAACTGCAAAAAATACCATTCTGCAAGAATGTTTGATGCGTATGCATCAACTTAGACTCTTCTACCTCCAAAATCAATGAGTGATTTATATATATTCTATTTAGTTATAATATGTATTTGAAAATTTATTCCTCAATGCTCTTGCATATTGACATCTTCTTCGAATAATGAGGTTACAAGTGGTCAAAACTTGTTTGTCATTGCAGGAATTAAGTTCAAAAGGTGACTCCTTCACCCCATCAGATGTAGAAAGGGCTCTGTGGAGTTCAGCTGTAGGGGTAAAGTTGCAATCTTCACAAGCTGTTCTTGACAACAAGATCAAGGGTAGCAACAAAAGAAAGAGAAAACATTGATTTACGGATGCAGTGCATGATGGAAACTTTTGTAAGTTCTAACTTGTCCTATTATTAGTGTTGTTTCCTTTATGCTTTCCCTTCCCCATGTAATTAACATGCTGATAAAACAGGTCATACTGACTATCAAGTCACTTTTGCGAATTTAATTACTATTACCCTTAGCCATAGTTTCAAGTTAGCAGAAACATTCTACTGCTGATGTTTTGGCCATATATCTGGCATACATGCATTGAATGGAGCCAAAATTTATGGGCTATGGCTATGTCTGCATAGAGAACTTACATTGAATTTGGATGAGTCCATGATTGACCCCTTAATCTTTGGTAAGGTATTCAAAGTCACATGTTATCGTGCCGCTGTGAAATGTCAAAGATAAAACTATACGATGAAACCCTTGATACATCTTTAACTTATTGGGTGGCTCACTTGGGGGTAAAATGGTGAAGTGCAGATGCTTAGATTCAAACCGCAGCGTTGTGGAAAGCCACACGTTGTTAAGAAGTGTATACTTAGCCCTCCTACTCCCATCTTGTTCAAGCAAAAGATTGTCCATCATAGAGATTATAGTGTAAAATGAGCATTCCGCATTTTTTTTTTTTAAATCAGCTATAGCCCATACGGTAAACAAATGTGTGAAATGAAATGTTCTTTGGTCCTTGATCATTTAAGATTGAGCCTGGAGATGAGCCCGGACTCCAAAATGGGCATGTGTCAAAACAACTAATTCAAGATCAAACAGCCCATGATCGCCTTAATGAGAGTGGCTGCTTTTTAACCCACAAAGCGGACCAAGGTTTACTGAAATGCAACGGTCTGTTTACGACTCTACTCTTTGGTGGGTAGCGTAGCCGTTGCAATTTGAAAGTTAAAACACCTCTACTAGTATAGATGTTTAATGGCTAAAATAATAAAAAGAAGTTTTTAAATGTTATCATTTGATTTAAATAAAATTTTATATTTTATTTTGCATTCAAATGAGTTTTTAATTTGTATTTAAATAAATTTTTATTATAAATCTTTTTTTAAATAAGTACTTATTTAGATATAAGTCAAAAAATTAAAAAATTTATTTGAATATAATAAAAGCATAAAATTTTTAAAAAAAAATAAATTAACTCAGAATTTTTAAGTATTTTAGCTCAAAACGCTGGCCGGCCGGTAGTGATAGGTGTCTAGCCGCCAATAGCTTTTCTTTTACTCCCCGTAACCACGTTGCCATTCGAGCTGTTCCACTTTCATCTCTCCTTCCAATGGACGGAATCTTCAAAGCCTAGGACCCCTCCTTGGATACTGTTTTTCTCTGAATTTCACGGCGTTCACATGTGTCAACACGTAATTCGTCGCGTCAGTTCCCTCATGAAGACCTCCATAACGACCATCTATTTATACATCGACTCATCTCTTCTTCCACCCCCTTCATAACCTCCAACATGATAAAATGACGATTATGCCCTCGTCACTTCTGACCGTAAATGCCAACGGAGCCCGCGATCGCCTCTCCTTCCTCAAAAGCTTGGGGACCAATTATTCGAGGCTCACAAGTCTGGTTTCTGTGGCTCGTCCATTTCAGGAGCCGTCTTCAACCTCTCGACCGCCATCGTGGGAGCAGGAATCATGGCGCTCCCAGCTACCGTCAATCAATTGGGCCTTATCCCCTGTCTAATCACAATAATATTTGTCTCTATGTTAACGGAACCATCCATCGATATGATTCTCAGATTCAGACGAGCCTCCAAGTCCGCCTCCTATTCAGGCGTCGCCGCCGACTCTTTTGGTGGGACAGACCGACATCAACAACCTCGGCATGCTCGTGGTTTACATGATCATCATAGATAATTAAGTTAAACTGAAAATTGCGCGACATGGAACTATTAATAGCCGTTTGATCACGACTGAATTTGAAATTGTTGGCAGATGATGTGTTATCGGGGACATGGGTTGATGGATTCAATTGAAGAACAGTTTGGTTAACCACGCGTTCGGCTTTGCTCTTGTTCACCACACTTTTCGTTTTTACTCCTCTCGTTTCATTCAGCTTGTTGGTAACTAATTAAGCAACACGTCAAAATTCTAAATTGTTGGTATAAAATATTTAAACTGCTAACTTTTTTTTAGTGATTTTAGATTCATTGACAGTTGTCTTTGTGGCAATAACAAGGGGAGTTACAATTGTTAAGTTGACGGAAGGGAAAATTGGAATGCCTCTTCTAATTGCAAAACTTGTTAATCAGGCATCGTTTTGGAAGCTTTTCACCATTGTTCCTGTTGTCGTCACTGCTTATAGATGCCACCATAATAGTAAGTCACGATAGATTGTTTGTTTCTGTTCTGTTTCGGACTTCCATTACTATCCGTTTACTATCATAATTTTGTTTTGTTTAATTGTTGGTTCATGTTAGTTTTCATCCAATCTACTCAAAATTGATCTATTTTCACTTGGTTAGTTGGTTGGGTGTATTAAGGATAAGAAACGCTGGATGATATGGTCAGAGTGAGCTATGGCCTTCATCTGATGCCTGCTTGTTTTCCCATTTGTGTTTTTTTCCCTTCGTCTCAAGTTACTTTGGTTATTTCCATACGGTATTCCTATTGCTTTTGACAACATGAGGTTCTTATCAGTAAAAATAGCTCTTATGGATTTTATCTTTATGGGAGCCAACTTTGTTCCTAGTACTGGGATGCCTTCCAGTTCACTGCTGCAGTTTGTGTTGGTTTATCTTTCCAGCTGCAATCACCCTTAGGTAAGTAATAGTTATATATGCAGTTTTTGTTGAATTCAGTGTCAAAAGAATTTTACATGCTGCATTATGGTGGATATGATGTTATCAATTGTAGTTATATTAACGACTACGTACCATACATGAAAAAATATTAAAGATTAGCAACTCACCCCTAGATCATGGTTTAGGGATGTGCAAAAGAGCTGGCTACAACATTTGGCCCTAAATAAGCTTTTTGTGTATGCGATTGATAGATGATTAGGTAATAATAGACGAAACTGGAACCCTTTTCAAGAAAAAGAACAAAGTTTTGCTATAACTGAAGAACCTTTTTGCTCTAACTTTCTTTGTAATGTGGTAATTAAATAACTAATAGTTCTGATGTGCACTCATTCAGGGGCACCCATGGAATTGCAATAAAGAATGATAAGACTAGTATCATTGATGATGATCTTTCTTGCTGTGGCTGTGACCAGCGACACTTAATAGCATTTTTAGTGGTGACAGAGTTATAACCTGATTTTATGGAAAGTCTGAATAAACCTCGTTTTCCTGCTGCATTGACATAGTTGGAAACTCAAGCTAATGGGGCACCGAAACAATCTGGTTTTCTTTCATGCAGTTTATCCTCAAAGCTGACAGGACGAATGGGGGGGGGGGGGGGATCTGTTTATCAAAATAGGAGCAATAAGCTGTGGAAACAGTGAGTATTCCATTATCTCATGAGGCTTGATACATTAACATTCTAAAATTTGGGCTTGAAGGCCCATCTGATTGATGGGTGAATTTTTGGGCTTCTTTAAACGGGTGTAAAAGGGGTAACATTGTCACCCAAATTTTCTTAAAATAAATTTTGAAATGTCGGATTTTTTTAGTTTATGGGATAGAAAGAATTAGCTCTCATTGTTTAACTTGAAATCGTATATAGTATCATATATATATGATTTCAGCCCAGATGCAGTCCGGCTGCCCAGTCTCTCAACAATTTTCAGGTGAGCGTTGTGTTGCAGCCGCTCCTTCCTTTTTCTTTAGCAAACCCACGTTTTCTTAGCATTGATCTCCCCTTTTTTTTTTTTTTTTAATGATTCACATGCCATATCTGAGGCTTTTTCTGTCCTAATCTTTTCAAAATTACTTATTTTACCTTTTTCTCTATTTTTATACATAAAGACTTCAACATGAAACATAGATATATTCAAGTGTCAAATTATTTATTTAAACTCGAAGGTTGGCTTAAGTTTTGAGAAAGTTCGATGAAAAGTTTAAAGATTATTAAACAGGTTTGAGTAAACTTTTAATTTCATTTAAATTTTAGATTGCACTTTTGATAAAAAATTTAAAGTTTGAGTCGAATTTAACCCAAATTTATATGTATATATATTTTTTTATTTATATATATATTTGTGAATTATATATATTAATTCAAATATATCTAAAAAATAAAATAAAAATTATATATTTTTTGTTAGACTTATTTTTATTTTTATATAATTTTTATTTTTAATTTATATATATACATGAATTAAATATAATCTCATTATACTTAATTTAATCATAACTTTTAAATTTTTTATTATATAAATTAAGTTTAATAAATGTATTTAAAATTTATTTCTTTTATTTGGATCGAATTTAAAAAATTTTTGAAGTATGAAATTTCAAACAAACTCGAGCCTAAGCAAACATATAAGGTATTAATACAAAAAATAAGCTTAACTCAAACCCAACCTATGAACACCTATAATGATAAATAAATAAAAAAGTTGTAAAATAAAATTTTAAATTTTAATTCATTAAATATTATATTTTAAAAAATTTTATGAATTAATTAAATTAGTTAAATTAAGTTTTAAATTTACAATTGTCTCTCATTTGCTTTAAAATGATATTTATCAAAGTCTCATTTGAAAAGCAAAGCAGATGATTGATATAATTTTGAAATTTTGATGGTAAATTGATGTCATAATTGCATCAAATTTTATTATTTATTTATTATAATTAAATAATAAATCTCAAGTATATATTATAATCAAATTCTTGTTTGACAATGGAAACTTAGCTTTCGTCTAGACAATTTACACCCATTCAAATTCAATTACCCGAAATGACAGTCCCTTGGCCTCGCATTCAGAAATTATTAGTATTACTTTTTTTTTTTCTTTTTTTGGAACTTAGCTTTCGTCTTTTATCGTGCAAACCACGATGGACTGTCCCGTTATTTGAAAGCTCAAACTACATATTTCAAAGCTGTTAGGTGTTAGGTCCAAATCATTGACATGTTCATCAAAGTTAATAAGCGCTGTAATGCTTATTACCACAATAATTGAGCGATTATTTTTATATTACATTCAAATTAATTATCTGTAATTTAAGTTAAATTTAAATTTTATCATATTTTTTATACAATATAATTAAATTTACATATCATTAATTGAATTTAAATATTAATTTTAATAAAATTTACTTAATATAAAATTGTTATTAAATTTTTTATCAATATAATTACAATAATTTTTTAATCAAAATTTAAATAATAATTATTATTATTTTAATATCATTAAAATCAATTTCATCATACGATATCTTAATCAAAGCCCCTGGATTTGTCTTATGTATATATCTTAAAAAAATAAATATTTTATTTTATTTTTTGTTTTGGATGGGGAACAAAAGTACCCACATGGAGCCGTGAATACCGACATTTTCAACTGCATTTCAAAAACAGATATTTTGTTCTTTAATATTTGAAAATTACAGATTCAAAAAAATTTGTGTATAATATTATTTTTAATCAAATAAATAATAAAATAAGAGAGATTAAAGTTATATTAAGAATTAAAAAAAACCCAAATGGTAACAAATGCCAGCTGGGCATCTTTTTGTCATTTTTTTTTTTTTAATTAAGCCCCTCTCTTCACCGCTCCTTTATACTGAAGTATTCTTTAAAAACTTTGGAAAAGTATTATTCTGTTATGAGAAAACCGGCCTTTCATGGATAGCGTGCTAGAATATCCTAGGCTTTGACATTTATTTTTTTTCTTATATATTTAAAGCATTGTTTTGCTGAATAATAAAAAATTTTCAAGTCAGTAGAAAATTAAAACATGTAAGGAGGATTTTTTTTTTTTTAATAATCAAGACCTTTTGAATTAGTTATGTTTTATAATAAAAATCAAAT